AAAAAAAAAGGAGGGGGGGGCTTTTTTAGAGAAAATATTTTAAATTGTACACTTTAAGTTTTGGTGTTTTATGGCTTCTGAAGCATTCCGTTATGTGGAAGGGGGTTTTGTAATTGTCTCTTTAATTATCCTGCTAGTCAGAAATTCTGTGTGGTCCGTCATCCTCTTCTAGCACCTGGCACAGTGCCACACGGGGTGCCCAGTGCACATTTGTTGAATGAGTGAATTGAGTAATAAATTAATGTTACATACCAGGCACCATCCAATCTACAAATCTGTTCTTACATCTAACTTCACCTATTTCCTTTTACTTCTTTTTTTTTTTGAGATGGAGTCTTACTCTTGTCAACCAGGCTGGAGTGCAATGGCACAATCTCGGCTCACTGCAACCTCCGCCTCTCGGGTTCAAGTGATCCTCCTGCCTCAGCCTTCTGAGTAGCTGGGACTACAGACACCCACCACCATGCCCATCTAATTTTTGTAATTTTAGTAGAGATGGGTTTTCACCATGTTGGCCAGGCTGGTCTCGAACTCCTGACCTCAGGTGATTCACCCACCTCGGCTTCCCAAAGTGCTGGGATTACAGGCGTGAGCCACCACACCCGGCCTTCTTTTTACTTTTTAATGTGATGCTAAACACATTTATTTTATTTTAATTATTTTTTTGAGACAGAGTTTTGCTCTTGAGGCCCAGGCTGGAGTGCAATGGCGCAATCTTGGCTCACTGCAACCTCCGCCTCCCAGGTTCAAGTGATTTTTCTACCTCAGCCTCTGGAAGTAGGATTAGAGATACCTGCCACCATGCTCAGCGATTTTTTTTTTTTTTTTTTTTTTTTAGTAGAGATGGGGTTTCACCATATTGGCCAGGCTGGTCTTGAAGTCCTGACCTCACCTGATCCACCCACCTTGGCCTCCCAAAGTGCTGGGATTATAGGCGTGAGCCACTGCACCCGGCTGCTAAATACATTTTAAATTACATATGTGGCACACACCGCTGTCTTTCTGTTTGACGGGGTAATCTTAGATGCTTCTGCTCTGACTCTAGAGGCAAAGTACAAAGTTTAAACCCATTGCCATGGTCTGCGTGAAACTCCCACACAACGTAAGCTACTTCCTCACTTGTTTCTGGCTGGGAACACTGCAAAGGCAAGGGCAGATCTTATTAGCAGGAAACCCTAGCAGCAACCTGGTGCAGTGCCAGCGCAAAGCTCCACTCCACTTGCAACTCCGGAAAACAGCTGTAAGACTTACTCTTCTACCCAGGCTGGAGTGCAGTGGCTTGATCTCGGCTCACTGCAATCTCTGTCTCGCGGGTTCAAGCGATTCTCCTGTCTCAGCCTCCTGAGTAGCTGGGATTACAGGTGTGCACCACCATGCCCAGCTAATTTTTGTATTTTTAGTAGAGATGGGGCGACAAGAGTAAGATGTACCAGTGGAAAAACGGAGGCCCTAAGCAGGAAGACAACACAGGTCTCATGTTAGGAATCCGGGCTCTTCTAAGATCTCCAGTGACTCCACCTTCCAGCCAGGAGAGAGGGAGAGATTTAGATGCAAATGTCCAGAATGCCCTGTCCCCTTTGAGAGTCCTCACAGAGTGAACCAAGCCTGCTCTGGTATGTGGGGTGGGCTTTTTGAGATAGCTTGGGGTGGGCAATAAGAGGTCCAGGCCAGGGGCAGGGTGGCTCAAGGACGAGTGAAGATTTAACCACTCACCACTGCCCCCATCCGGACCCTCACACTCCTATACATCCGTCTTCTGCCAGAACATCTTTTCCACCTGGGCCTACGATGGCACTGGGCCTAGTTGGTTCGCAGAGCACAGGGCTGCTGGGCTTCAGTCCCCTCCTCTAGTGCATAACCCTGCCTTCCAATCTTAGATATCTCTATAGGTTTCTAAGCATATTTGCATCTGTGAACTCATGCTTCATAGCAACCCTGAGAGTTGTTGGCATTAACCTCATTTTACAACTGGAGAAACTGAGGCTCGGGTGAAATGGGGAGAGATACTTCAAGTTGCCCCCTTGAAACCCAGGACAGCAAAGGGGAGGGGTGGGAGGAAGAGAGCCCGGGGAGAGGGCACGCCTGGTCTGGGGCATCCTGCCAGTTTCGCAGTGGGCAGGGAGACAGCTGAAGCATGCTGCTCTTGGCACTCCACAGAACACTGGTGAAATGAATTCCTTATTTTGCTTAAGAGCTTTGGAATGTAGAGCAGACTCCTGACTCAGAACCATCCCTCATGCCCACCTAGTCCTTCAAGGATTCCCCAGGTCCAGAAGATTTGGCTTTCTTCAGCTTCCTCAACTACAAAATGGGCAAACCCCAGAATTGGTTGCCTTCACACACACCTGGGGATGCAGAAACCCAAACCTAGCAAAGCCACTCTCCACCAACAAATCTTTCTGCACCTGGGATGGAGGGGGGATGCCCAGGAGTGCTTGCGACTGTGTTCTGCATACTGTCTGCATCTCCTTTTCCTTTTTCTTTTCTTTTCTTTTTTGAGATATGGCCTTGCTGTGTCTCCCAGGCAGGAATACAATGGCACAATCACTGCTCACTTTAGCCTCAGCCTCCCAAGCAATCCTCCTACTTCAGCCTCCAGAGTAACTGGGGCCACAGGTGTGCACCACCACACCCAGCTAATTTTTAAAAATTTTTTGTTGAGGTGAGGTCTTGCCATGTTTCTCAGGTTGGTCTCAAACTCAGGCTCAAGCGATCCTCCCACCTCTGCCTCCCAAAGTGCTGGGATTACAGGTGTGAGCCACCGCGCCTTGCCTTGTCTGCATTTTTCTGCCCCTCCTCTGCCTGCTTCTCGGACACCCCAGGAGTTAGTTCCCAGCCATGGATCTTTCCATCTGATGAGCCTGGAAGCACAGCCTGGAAGCGTGTGGGCTATGGCCACTCCACCCACAGGTTTTCCCACACCATGGTGTTATTAAAATGTTTACATTAGTTAGCTGCCAACATTAAAAATCAAGAGATGTCACATAAAAGTTCCAGATAGACAACTTTTCTTGAAAATGCAGAAAACTGGGCACACGTCTCCACTGATGACATTGGCTGGATCTGGGTACACTCTCCTAGCAGGCTCCGTGAGGGTGCCTGCCTATCTCATGTAGGAATTTGAGTTTGCCACTCTGGGTCTAGTCTATCTGGCTTTGTCCTCTTACAGCATCTCTGAACAATTTCTAGCTAGCATCTGCTTGGAGGTAACAGGAGGCTCACTACATTGGTGAGGCAGGTGGCTGAGCTTCGAGGAAGGGGCTCCTATGGAACTGCCTTCCCCCTTTCTGCAAGAAAAAAAGACAGAGGAAAGAAATAAGCGTTGGAGCTAAGCAGCTCTGGATCTGAGTACCTCTCTAGCATTTAACCAGCTGTGTGATCCAAGGCAAACAATGGCCTTTCTGAGCTTCTGTTTCCTGAGGTGTGCCAGCCCTGCAGGGCTGTGTGAGGCTTACTGGAGTGAGTTTATAAAGCCCCTAGAGCATCAGGGTACATGGTCCCCAAATGGCCTTTCTCATCCTATGGAACTTCCAGCCATGGTTCCAGTTCCCCCCAGTGACCACGGGAGCTGGGAGCGGAGGAAGAGGGGATGGACAATGATCTGTGCCAGATGGCAGCGGGAAGCAGTCAGGGACTTGTGCTCAACAGGCACCCCCCCACCCCAACAGGAAGCTGCAGGTCTCTTACTTGCATCCTGGATTGCTTGGCCCACCAGGTGTGTGAGGGACAGAGGGTGGCAGAGCAGGCCCCAGGGTGGAGCCCTACATCCCTGTCCTCCCCTCACAGCCTGAGGCCATTCCAGGATGAGCCCTGTAGTCCTGGGGGGTGGAACTGGAGGCAGAGAAGTTCAGGGGAGGGAAAAGCAGGGAATGACAGTCCCCCTCACTGGAGAACAGCTGCCAAACTGGCCACCTGGCTCTGTGCCCAGCCGTCTCCCAGGAGTTCCACCTGGGCCCTTTCACTTCTTACAGCCACCCGAGGATATCCATAGTGGTATCCCTGCTTTAGAGACATGGAAATGTAGACTCGGAGAGGTTAAGAAACTTGCCTAAGGCCACACAGCAGGACAGTTGTCTTCCTGGTTCCTGAGCCTGCACTCCTGACCACTGCCATCTCAGGCCTCCCTAAATGCCTGCCATTGGGGAGGGACAGTTTAGGTCCCTAAACGCCGGGTCATTGGAGTGGGGAAAGGGAGAGAGTTTTGGTTTTGGGTTTTTTTTGGTTTTTCACCTAAAAGTGCCTCTGAGTTTGCCGCTGAGCCGGTCTCCCAGCCTCTGTCCATGAACTCGTGTGTGTATATCCGAGGGTGTCACCACGTGAGGCACTCGGTGTCCGGGGGTCATGCGTGCAGAAGCGAGCGTGCGTTGGATGTGCGGCCCGCGCGCGTGTCCACAGGGGGAATCCCCGGGTGGGTCTGGTCCCCGGGTGGCTGGGACGTCCCGATGGTGGTTCCGCGCGCGGGGGCCCTGGGTCCACGTGCGCCTCGCGGGGCGCGTCCCCGAAGGTGCCCGCCGGGGGTGTGTGGGCGTGCGCACGTGCGGCGGCCGTGGCCGCGGGACGGGTGGCCGTGGTGCGGGCTCCGTGTCCCCTACCCCCCCGCCTCGCTGCTGATTGGCTCGGCGCCGTGACTGGCCGGCCCCCCGCCCGGGGCGGCGGCGGCGGCGGGCGCGGGTGCTCGCGTGTGCGCTGGGAGCCGCGTGTGCGCCGGGGTGTGCGCCCGGCCGGGTGTGCGGAGAGCGAGGGAGCGCGCTCCCTCCCGACGCGCGGGCCGCCGCGGCCGAGCCAGAGGGTGCGCGGCGCCCCCGCCCGCCCGGCCCGGCCATGGCCCCCGCCCGGGGCCGCCTGGCCCCCGCGCTCTGGGTCGTCACGGCCGCGGCGGCGGCGGCCACCTGCGTATCCGCGGCGCGCGGCGAAGGTGAGCGGCAGCGGCGGCGGCAGCGGGGCGGGGGCGGGCGAGGGGCGCGGGGTGCGGCGCGCGCTGCCTGCGGCTCAACTTCCTTTGCCTAGACCCTGAGCACGGAGGCGAGGCGGCCTGGATCCCTCGGCCCGGGGCGGGGGGCAGGGGTGGCACCGCAGAAGAGACCCGGGATGAAGGGACGGAGCGGTGGCGATGGGAACCCGCGAGCTTGAGGAAGAGGGACAGGTAGCGGGGCTGGGGGACAGTGGGAAAGGACAGGAGACAGGACTGAGGGATGTGCCGCTGGGGACAGAAAACTGAGGGTCAGACGCCAGGGACAAGGAGACAGAGCGGACAGAAGACAAGAGGTAAGGAAGCGAGGGGACAGCGAGGTAGGGCAAGGAACAGGGTTGGGGACAGAGGACAGAGGGGCAGGCACTGGGGATGGAGGGGTAGGAGAATGGGGGAGGAGGTTCAGATGGTGGAAGGAAAAGGGGGCGGGGATGGCATGGAGAGGTGGGAGCCAGGCGCTGAGAAACCGGACCGGAGAGCAGGACCAGCTTTGAGGGTAGGCAGGAAGGAGGGGCAGGGAATGAGAGTCTGGGAGAGGGGTCAGGGCCTGAGGGCCACAGGTTGGCGACGTGGCGGGGGAGAAGAATCGAGGGCAGGGGAGTTCCAGATGGAGGCGAGGCAGCTTCGGGGGCAGCAGGAGCGGGCTTGGGGAGGAGAGGGCTGGAGGATGGGGAGCCCACAGAGAGACTGAGGCAGGCAGGTCTGGGAGAGCAAAGTCTTGTCAGGGAAGGCTCGGAGGGCAGGGTCACTTGGGGGCCCTGTGTGGGAAGAAGGACCGGGTAGGGAGGTGCACTGAGTCACTGAGACCAAAAACGCCTGGGAGATGACTTATAGTTGTGGGGGGAAAGAAGAGCTGAGAGGGAGCACCCAAGCCTCCCACCCACACACCCCTTAGCCCCCTGGGGACCCCAGCTCCATCCAGCTCAGGAGGCTTCCCTGGTCCCACTCCTCACACCCCAACCCTGGCCCTGGCCCTGGCCCTGGCCCTCCTCTGTTCCCACAGCTCTGACCTGAGGAAGCCAGAGCATCTCCCTTGCAGGCTCCCAGGGTGAAGTCCAGGGGCCAGAGCTGGATTCTCACCTGCCAGGATGAACCTCCAGGTGTGAGCGAACTCCAGAGCCCATGCTGCTCTCCCACGCCAGACAGACCAGATCTGCCCTTCACACACAGCTCACCAAGGTCCCACCCTACACACAGGCACACACACAGGCTACTTGAGATTCACACTTGTGGTCCCAGGCCTGCAGAGACTCACATGTGTGGTCAGTCTGCCCACCCCATATAACATCCACAGCCACATACACAGAAATGCAGACACACACACATGTGCATGCACGTACAGACACACACACATGAAAATATGCAACTCTGTGTCTACATGTATATATCACCACATGTATAAGGAGCCTCTCACTTGGATTTATACCCACGGAAATGCGTGAGCACCAACAAACACACACAGACACAGACAAAATCAGTCTCCCATGAGCCCAGGGTGCAACCGGGAGCGGGGCCAGTCAGGGTGGCCAAGAGATGAGGCCAGCAGAGCAGGACCGGGTAGGTGTAACAAGGTGCAGGTTCCCAGGGCACCAGGAGAGGCCTGGGGTTGGGGATGCTGGGGAGCAGGAAAGGAGGCAGGATGGAATCTGAGAGGCCTTGGACCCTGGGGGCTGTGCCTGAGAAGATGGCTTTCTGAGGGTGGGCAGAGGGAAGGGGACAGTTTGTTTGCCCAGCAGGCTCTGAGGAGCCCCTCTTCGAGGTGCTGGGAGTTGGGTGGTGCATCCCCAACCCCCTGGCTCAACTCTCTTCTCTGGAGAGGAGCCAGCACCTTCTGGAATCACAGGCTGGCGGCCCCTGAGCCCCCTGAAGAGGGGGCTTGGATCAGGCTCATGTGCTGAGATGAACCATGGGTCTGGGGAAGGGACCTGTGTAGTGTTTGGGGGCCAGCAGCTGAGGAAGAGGCAGGGTCTGGAGAAAGAAGCAGGTGGGGAAGTCTGTGGCCAGGGTGAAGGGAGGCAGGGTCCAAGGGCCAGAGTCCACGCCTTTCCGGTCAATGCAGCAGGATACCCACAGCCAGGCACGGGTTCCCTACTGGAGTCAGACAGCCATGGGGTGGAGACCTGGGGCTTGAGTTCCATGTGGAGCATCCGGGAGTCCTCTCCAGCACTGGCCCTGGGCTGGCCTAGAACAACCAGAGCCAGCCGAGGGAACTGCTGGAACTCAGGGAAGGGCTCTGCTCCCAGCTAGGTATAGCAGAGATGACAGGGCCTTAGCCTGGCCCAACACCCCTGTACCAGGTTACTCTCAGGGCCCTTGCTAGGGCACCCACTGACCCAGGAAGGGCTCTGCACCTGCAGAGACACCCCCATCCCTGCCAGGCCCAAGGCTACTTGTCACTCTCTGGTGTGGCTTATCCTCCACTTTGAGGTGATCTCCAAGGCATTCAGAATCCTGGCTGACGTCCCCTGGCCACCCCGAATTCTCTAGCCTCACCATCATGCGCTGCGTCCTCAGGGAATGTAAATCAATTTAAGTATTAGTCTCAGCGAAATGGAATGGGGGAAGGCGACGGTGCTGGAGAAAAAAAGAAATCGCATAATGCCTTCCACAGTCCAACAGGAGCGGCTTAGGAGTTATCTGTGCTTCCCAGAGCAGGAGAGGGACCCATTTCATTCCCCCAGAACAGCCGGAGCAGAGAGGCCTGGGAGGGATCCCATGGACATTTTTCAGATAAGGAAACTGAGGCAGAGAGGTGAAGTGCCTTGCTTCACTGAAGGCCCCTGAGAGACCATGCGGTCCAATCCTCCTGTTTTGTAAGCAGGGAGACAGGCCCAGCTGGGAGAATTGGCTTCACTGTCCCGCAGTACAAGAGGCAGGCGAGAGGCCAGCTGTGGGGACCAGGGGGTCTGAATTTCCAAGGGGACCCATCCCCAGGCTGGGTGGGCCGAATGCTGGCCCCGATCAAACCTCCTATGGACTTGGGGCTCCCCTCGAGGGGCACTCTGCATTCTCACCCATTCAAGGGGACATGGCTGGGGAAGGTGGAGATGGAGACAGAGGAGGAGGAGGGAGGGGAGGGACAGAGAAGGGTCTGGAAGGAATTGGAACAAACAGCCCTGGAATCCTATAGCCCTTCCTGAGTCCGATAGAATCGACTTTTGACTTATCTTTGGATTATCTGAGCCCCCTGGCTGGTTGATCAAGAATCAGCTGCAGATGAGGTGGGGCTTCCCCGAGGAGGGCCGGGCCTGGAGAGCGGTGTCTGCAAGCCCTGAAGCCTGCATGCTCCAGGGGGAGAATCCCGAGCTGTGGACATCACTCGGGTGGCTCCAGGGTAGGGGCTAGTCTGGGCTGCATCCAGGCCGGGTCAGAGAAGGGGTCCAGCCACTCTGAGACCTGCATCTGGGATGTGGGGTGGGGCGGAAGGTGAGGGGTCCTTCTCTCACCCTCTCCCCAAACTCAGCTTTGCTGGTCTGGGGGAAACTGCAGTGCGGCCCCCCTCCCCCTCCCACCAGCCAGCAGGAGGAGAGATTGCCTGACCCAGTTTTCTCTACATTGCCTGAGAGGGAGGGAGGGAGGCGGGAAGCCTCCTTCTCTCTGCCTCTGCCCCTGGTGTGGGGCTGGCTTGGGGAGGGGGAGGTCCCTCAGTGGACATTCGCTCTGTCCCCTGATCCCAGGTGGCCCCTGGGGACCCAGGGAAGAACGCAGGGAGGAGCACAGAGACCCCCCTCTCTAGTTCTGCCAGCTCCTCTCAGCCAGCCTCCTCCAGGGTCCCTGACAGTGGGGCAGGGAGGGTGAGAGGCAGGAGAAAATCAGCAAATAAGAGCATCCACACTCCAGCATTTCCTGAGGACACTTGTCTTGTCTTTGAGGGGCAGGCTTAGAGCTGTACAAATCTCAGGCAGAAGGGCACCCAGCCTCCCCGCTGGAAAGTTCCAGGAGGGCCCCAGCTTTAACCCGCTGCCACCTGCACCAGCCCACTGACTGAGGTGGTTAAAAGCGCCTGGCTGTTGGCTGGGAGAGGAGGTTCCCGGAAGGCAGAGTGAAAAGGAAAGCTGTGGGACTCTGGATCCAAAAGCCCTCTCATACAACAATCACCAGCTAGATCAAAAGCGAGCAGAGAGGCGAAGGGATTTAAACAAGGACACACAGCAGTTAGAGCCTGCTGAGCCCTGATTTCTAAACAGCAGAATGCATCTGTATCTCCATAAGCGAGGGTATAGCCACAAGCGGAGAGAGGCAGGAGGGCGGGACTTAGAGAAGGGGAACTAGTGTTGGTAAGGACCAGCACTGGCTCCAGGCTCTACATGGTTTCCTGACCCTCATCCCACCCTTAGGTACTATGAACCCATTTTACAGATGAGGAAATTGAGGGTCAAAAAAGTGAAGGTCACCTGCTAATAAGTAGCTGCCTGGAGACATGGGCCCAGGAATGCCTGACTCCCAAGACGGACTCTTTCCTACCGTGTTGAGCTGCAGGGTCCCCTCTGCAGAGGGCCTGACTTAGAGTGACTTGCCCTTTGGACCGGCCCTCCTTCCCCGCTGTGGGGACTGCTCAGAGGTTCTGCTTCTTGGCCCGAGCATCCAGGGATGGTGGATGGCCCACAGTTGCTACAGCAGGTGCCCTGAATGCCAGCCCCGCCAGCTACACCTGTGGGGCTGTTGGCACATTCCCGGACCTCCCTGAGGCGCGACTCTTTCATCTGTAAAATGGAGATAATAATGGCCGCCTCTCTGGTTGTTATGTGGGGCGAGGATGAGGCATCTCAAGCTCCCTTGCAGATATCAGCACATAGTAGGTGTTCACTAAGAGGCAGCTCTTACCCCTGAAGCCTCTCCACACCAGATGTGCGCAGAGGAGGTGCTAGATGCCGGGCACCATGCAGGGAACACGGTAACTATGAAGCTGGGCCAGTCCTCAGATGGGAGGTATAATTTTGCAGCAGGGACACTTGAATGCCACCATGGCTCTTACATGAGACAAGGGCCAGGTCGTCGTCACAAAAGCCCCGTGGGACCAGAATCATTATCACCCCATTTTACAGAGGAGGAAACTGAAGCTCAGGGAGGTGAAGGGATTGCCCAGGATGCACAGCTCCTAAGTGGCAGAACTGGGATTCTGAGGCCTGCCAGCTTCAAGCCCGCCTATCTCACTGCGTCACCAACCAGGGATGCATGGCACCTGGAACCGCTTGTATTCTGGGAGTTCAGAATATTACTTTTTGGCCAAAGGAGTGGAGGAAGACTTCAAGAAGAGAGAGAACTTAAACTGAGCTTTCAAAGAGAGGGGAGGAAGGAAAGGGCATTCAGGCAGAGGGACCCGTGTGAGCTGTGTGCTGGGGGCTGAGCGTGGACCAGTGTAGCTGGGTCAGGCTGCTCTTGAGGGGTGGAGAGAGGTCACAGGGGCCTGATGCCCTATTGTCTCCTATTTTGCAGTGAATTTGCTGGACACGTCGACCATCCACGGGGACTGGGGCTGGCTCACGTATCCGGCTCATGGGGTGAGTGATGGGCGGTGGGGACAACGTCATTCCTCTGTGAGCAGAGAGAGGCTGCCACTCAGAGTCGGCATTAGATAGATCAAAAGGAAGCAGAGGCCCAGAGAGGTCAAGGGACTTACCCAAGGGCACACAGCAGTTTGTTGCTGATCTCCTAACAGTTTAGCATATATAGACCTTTGAGATTACAGAAGCAACTTGGGCACCAAAGCCCTGACTCTTCAAGTCTGAGGCCCTAAGTCTGGTCGTCCCCATGGCTGTATCCTACAGATTCATGAGGTACAGACCAGGACAGAGGAGGCTAGCCAGGCCTTCCTGCCCTCTGGGTTGGTCCCTCCCTTCCAGCTGCCCTGGCCTCACCAGGAGCCACTCCGAGTCCTGGAGTCTCTGCTTGTCTCTCTTCCCACTGTGGCCAAGCTCCCAGGCCTCCATGGTGACTCTGGGCTCAGCCTTCAGGTCCCTGTGGGTAATGTGCTCACAGACTGTGCCCCCATCCTCCCGGAAGGGGCTGCAGTGACAAGGCCACACTGCCCTATCCCCCTGCTTCTCTTCTCTCAATCCTGTGAGGGCAAGGCAGTAGAGTAGGAGTGACTTCACGAGCCTGGTGGAATCCCGGCTCTGCCAAGCAGGTGGCCCTCATCCCACCCTTAGGTACTATGGTGGGTCACATCTGGGTCACTGCTTCACCTCTCTGTTTCGCCATCTGTAGAAAGGGACACACCTGTGATGACCTCCCAGGTCTGCACCAGGGTGAGGGTGGATGACAGAGTCTTGTCATTGAGTCTGGCACAGGGTGAGCCCTCATGAATGCAGACTTTTATAGTGACCATTAGCATTGTTACATGTTATCTCCCACAGTTACTGTCTCACACGAACTTTCTCTCGCCAGCATGCTCAGAAACACACACACACCTGCACACATCCCTGCCACAGACGCGAGCACATCATGCAGACCTGACTTCTTTCATGTCCACGTCCAGCTCCTATGGCTCTGGAGACAGAGGGATAATAGTATTAATAAGGATGATGATACTGACACCAACAGTTCACATTTATGAAAGGCCTTTCTTGACTTTGGGTAGAGTTTTCATCTGGGCCTTTTGTGGCCTGTGGTTGGAAGTCTGGACACCACCCCGCTCCTCTCTCTCTAGGGGTCTTGTCGCTAGGCAGTAGTGAGCTAAGCCTGTCGTCAGTCCTCATGCACTGGGCTCCCAGGAGCTGGGGGCAGGCCACATGGCTCTAGTTCTCCAGTCCCCAAGCCTGAAGGGAGCCCTCATCACCTGACTCAGCACTACTGCCTGAGGACGGAGGCCAGGTTCTTGGGGTATCCCTTTACCTCCCGGCGCATCAGTCTCCCCCTCTGTAAAACACTCCTTGGTGTGGCCATTCTTCCCAGTATATGCAAGGGCTTTGGTGCAGTGAGCTGGGGCCCACCCATGAGGAGGTGGGTCCTGGTCTCACCCTCACTGTGCGGCTGTTGGCTGAGATGGCATTCCCCTGAGTCCTGGCAGCTAAGAGGGCACGCATGGGCCCTGGCTGGCTCTGGGGTGTCTTTATCCTGCTCAGAGCATTGGACTTGATGTTTAGGGTAATGAGGAATTGTCAGAGTTTTCAGCAGGTGGGGAGCATGGCCGGCCTAGTGTTTTGGATGCTGGCACTGCCAGTCTCAGGCGGGTTTCGTGTAGGATGCTATAAAGCATAGCTCAGCGTTCTGGCATTGCATTCTGGAGTTAGAACAAATAGGCAACTTAGATTCACTCACCTCTGAGCAGGTCACAGGCATCAGCTCTTTACTCCCCTATCCTGTGAGGTGGGCGTGGCCACCGCAATTCCCAGATGAGGAAGCTGAGACTCAGAGCAGTGAGAAGTAACTTGTCCATCATCAGACAGGTGACAGCTGATGGCAAGCTGGGCTCAAACTTGGGTCTCTCTGAGTCTAGAGCCTGTGGTAAGTCCCTTATGCCGCCTTTGGACTGAGGCAGTGAGGCCCATCCTGTGAGACGGAAAGGGAAATCTTCACTCTCCACTGAGCCAGGGACCTACCTGCCATCTTCAGGGGGCCTGCAGACAGGACTTTCTCAGGGAGGAAGGAAGGCTGGAATCAGATCTGATTCCCAAACTCTAGACCTTGAATTGGTGCCAGGCTCAGGCTAGCAGGCTAAGCATGCAGAGTCCCACATCCAGGAGGTCTGAGGAGGGGCCTGGGAATCTTCTGTTTAATCAGCTTTCCAGGGAGCCGGGCATGGTGGCTCATACCTGTAATAGTAGCATTTTAGGAGGCTGAAGTGGGAGGCTTGCTTGTGACTAGGAGTTTGAGACCAGCCTGGGCAACATATAGTGAGACCCTTTCTCTACAAAAAAATTTACAATTAGCTGGGCGTGGTGGTGCATTCTTGTGGTCCCAGCTACTCAGGAGGCTGAGGTGGGAGGATTGCTTGGAGCTGGGAGTTGAGGCTGCGTTGAGTCACTGTACTCCAGCCTGGGTGAGAGAGAGAGATCTTGTCTCAAAGATAAAATAAAATAAGCTTTCCAGGTGATTCTCCTGCCCAGCTCGGGGAGGGACCCCAGAGACGGTCCTTCAGGTTCTATCCACCTCTCTGATTCTGGAGTACATTCAATAGCTTGAGGACAAGAGTCACCCAGGGTGGTCTCCAGGCTCAGAAATATTACCTGATTGTCAGGCAGGTGGTAGAGCCTGAAGGGCCAGGGTGCCGAGTCCTGATGAACAGGGGCTCTGCCTCTGGTAGTCAGTGTGATTCAGGCAGATACTTACTTTGCCTCCACCTCCTCATTTATAACACGGGGACAATCTTAGAACTGTTCCGTGCAGTGCCATCAATGGGATGATACATGAAAAGGCCATTTTACCAATAAGAAACTGAAAGCTCTCAGAGGTGAAGCAATTCTACGAAGACTGGGGGAGGTCTGGCTCAGACCCCCTGAGCCAGGCTTCATCAGGCTGCGTCCTTCCCCCTGCTCCCGGGAACTTCCGCTCACACGCTGGGATGTGCTCTGCCTGCTCTGGCAAATTAACCTCGACTCACAAACGCTCCTTCAGGTAAGCGGGCAGGTTCATTTCCATTGTGTCAGGTAATTCTCACCACCCCCTGCAGCAGATGGAAGGAACAGGCATTTGGTACCCCATTTTACAGAAGAGAAACTGAAGCCTCAGAGAGAGGATGCGCCTCACCAAACACTGCACAGCTGGCTCACTGCATTCTGGTCTGGGAGGGAGACAGAGTTGGGGAAGCAGCGTGCCAGAGCTGGTGTCTGGGCTTGAGAAGCAGCAGAGATGGGAGTGGCATCCAGCATGCGCTGTGAGGGCTTTGGTGCAGTGAGCTGGCCTCCCCTGTGGTAGGGGGCCCACCCATGAGAAGGTGGGTCTGGTTCCACCCTCACTGCATGGCTGTTGGCTGAGATGGCATTCCTCTGAGTCCCAGCAGCGAGGAGGGCACGCCTGGGCCCTGGCTGGCTCCGGGTTGTCTTTATCCCGCTCAGAGCATCAGACTTGATGTTTAGGGTAACGAGGAATTGTCTGAGTTTTCAGCAGGTGGGGAGCATGGCTGGCCTCCTGTTTTGAATGCTCACACTGGCAGTCTCAGGTGGGGTGGGGGCGCCCCAGGCAGGAAACAGGGCTGATTCTACCCTTGCACTAGACCTCTGGGAGTCCGTGCCACTCTGGGCATCTGAAGCAGCTCCTGGGTCTGGCAGGGCTAGGCAAGGCCATTGGCCCCAGTGGGACAGCTGGAGTAGACTCAGATTGAGCTGATTAATTTATCCAGGTCCCTGGCAGGAGATACACAGGGAGCAGCTGGCTGGCTCTTTGGTGCTCCATTAATTGTGACAATGACTTTAACCCCAGATGTGATGCCACACTGCCTGGAGCCTCTGGCAGCAGAGCGGGGTGGGGAGCAGGAGTCCTTGGGTTGGGGGGACTCGGAAGCATAAACTATTTCAGGTGAGGCAGGCACTCCCTGGGGCTCCTTTGGAAGCGGGAAATCTTTCCACGTGGTCCCTGGAGGCAGGCAGGTGGGCTGTGAAGATGCCGCCAGTTCAGTATCGTATTAGGCCCATTCGTCAAGGGCCTTCCCATGCCAAGCCTGAGCTAAGCACTTTGCAGGAATTTTCCCACTGCATCCTCTCAAGCCTCGCTGAAGTGGGGCCTATTTGAGTCCCATTTTACAGATGTGGGCACTGAGGATCAGGACGAGATTAGACAGAGGGGCCTGGGCTGGGCAGGAAAAGACTTGAGACATCCATGGCCTTCTCTCTAGCACTTGTGGAGCCCACGGGTTCTCAGAGCATCTGGTCATGAAGCCCCCCTTCCCCTTTAAGCAACAGGATCTCTAGTTCAAGGACAATTCAAGAAAGTCAAGGTGTTGCATGTGTGGAGGAACTAGGACGGGGCCTAGAAACCAGCCCCTCCCTCTGCCCTCCTCCTCCAGCTCCTCCTCGGAGCCCTCATGAGTCCTTGAAGTCAGCTCAGCAAGGACTGCTCCTGGCCAGCTGGTGCTCAGCAGCGGTGGAAGCTCGGGCTCTCCCCTCCCGTCTTCTGCAGACCCCAACCCTTGCAAGAGGGCCTTGCTTCGTTGCAGTGCCAGGTTGACTGTAAATTACAGATGCCCACACGTAGGAGCGCTGGGGAGGGGCCTGGGAATCTTGCCCACCTGGATTCCCTCAGCTCATCACCCTGCACTGCCGAATCTGGTGGACTGGGGCACTTGAGCACAGGGAGTGTTTCTGACATATTTCTTTCTTTTTTTATTCTGGTAAAATACATATCATGTAAAGTTTACTGTCCTAACCCTTTTTAAGAGCACAGCTCGGTGACATGTAGTGCATTCACATTGCTGTGTGGCCGTCACCACCGCCACTTCCAAGATTCCTTTCATCCTGCGAAATGGAAACTCTACACCCTTAAACAGAACTGCCCCTCCCCCTCCCTGCCACCCTGGTAGCCCCCGGATTCTACTTTCTGTCTCTGAATCTGACTAGGTACTGTGTATAAGTGGAATCCTAACGATATTTGTTCTTTCATTTCTGGCTGATTTCGTTTGGCTTGTCTTTAAGGTGTGTCTGTGTTGTAGCATGTATCAGAATTTCCTTCCTTTTCAAGGCTAATACACCATCGTACATATCAGTTCGCTCATTGATGTACCCTTGGGTTCCTTCTACACTCTGGCTATTGTGAATAATGCTGCTATGAATAGGGCTGTACAAATATCTTTTTGAGACCCTCCTTTCAATTCTTTTGGATCTATACCCAGAAATGGGATTGCTGGATCATATGGTAATTCTATTTTAAACATTTTGAGAAGCTGCCATAGTGTTTTCCACAGCAGCTGCACCATTTCACAGTCCCACCCACAATGCACAGGGTTCTCATTTTGCCACATCCTTGCCAACATGTTATTATTAATACTATTGTTATTACTATTTGAGAGGGAGTCTCACTCTGTTGCCTCGCCTGGAGTGCAGTAGCATGATCTTGGCTCACTGCCACCTCCGATTTCCAGGTTCAAGTGATTCTCCTGTGTCAGCCTCCTGAGTTGCTGGGATTACAGTTGTACACCACCACACCAGACTAATTTTTGTATTTTTAAGAGATGGGGTTTCACCATGTTGGCCAGGCTCATCTCGAACTCCTGATCTCAGGTGATTCACCCACCTTGGCTTCCCAAAGTGCTGGGATTACAGGCTTGAGCCACCACACACGGACTCATTATTATTATTATTTTTTATAACAGCCATCCTAATGGGTATGGAGTGGTATCTCGTGATTTTGATTTATGTTTCCCTAATGATTAGTGATATTGAGCATCTTTTCATGTGCCATTTGGCTATCTCAATTTTTTTTTTAGAGAAATGTCTGCCCAAATCCTCTGCCTATTTTCTAATTGGACTGTTTCTTTTCTGCTGTTGTTGAGTTGTGGGAATTCTTTATGTATTCTGAATAGTAATCCCTTATCAGCTGTGTGACATGCTCACATTTCCCCCCATATCATGGGTTACCTTTGCACTCTGTTGAGAGTGTCTGGTTTGTTTCTAAATCACTGATGCCCAGCCAGCAGGCGGCACAGAAGCAATTCCACTCAACTTTCTCGCATCTGGGGATTCCCTTGAGTGGGACCCAGTCCAGCCCAGGGGAACAGCAAGAATGGTGGGGAGAGAGTCTGTGGATCAGACAGTCACTCGACAAGCAGCAGTACAGGAGAAGCTGCTGAAGGGTCTGAGGCAGGGTTCATACATTAGAAAGATCTCTCTGGCAGCTGATATGGAAACTGGACTGGCTGACTTCCCCCGGCAAATCCCGCCACTTTAGGAAAGATATGAGGAGCCACAGAGAAATTAGGGCAGGGCTTTGGCATCAGGCAGGCCTTATTCCCACTTGATAACTGCATGACCTCAGAGGAGTGGTTCACAGGTCAAAGCCTCTATTTCCTCATCCCCAGAGTTAGTAAATGACACTTCTCCAGAAGATGGTGGCCCTCTGTGAGATCACATGTGTAGGGGCACCTGGTAGCGATGACAGCCCACCAGGAGGACAGCTCCTTTGTTTATTTTCCCAGCACAATACACAGGGTCATTGGCAAAGGGGGTGAGGTGTTGGCTCTGCGTTAGTGGCTTCGTTCTCTCTGCCCACAGTGGGACTCCATCAACGAGGTGGACGAGTCCTTCCAGCCCATCCACACGTACCAGGTGTGCAACGTCATGAGCCCCAACCAGAACAACTGGCTGCGCACTAGCTGGGTGCCCCGCGATGGCGCCCGCCGTGTGTACGCTGAGATCAAGTTTACCCTGCGTGACTGCAACAGTATGCCCGGTGTGCTGGGCACCTGCAAGGAGACCTTCAACCTCTACTACCTGGAGTCGGACCGCGACCTGGGGGCCAGCACGCAAGAAAGCCAATTCCTCAAGATCGACACCATTGCCGCCGATGAGAGCTTCACAGGTGCCGACCTTGGTGTGCGGCGCCTCAAGCTCAACACGGAGGTGCGCGGCGTGGGTCCCCTCAGCAAGCGCGGCTTCTACCTGGCCTTCCAGGACATCGGTGCCTGCCTGGCCATCCTCTCTCTCCGCATCTACTATAAGAAGTGCCCTGCCATGGTGCGTAATCTGGCTGCCTTCTCGGAGGCGGTGACGGGGGCCGACTCGTCCTCACTGGTGGAGGTGCGGGGCCAGTGTGTGCGGCACTCCGAGGAGCGGGACACGCCCAAGATGTACTGCAGCGCGGAGGGCGAGTGGCTGGTGCCCATCGGCAAGTGCGTGTGCAGCGCGGGCTATGAGGAGCGGCGGGATGCCTGTGTGGGTGAGTGCGCCATGGGCAAGGGTCAGCCAGCAGCAGCGCTTGGTCTGGGCAGGGCTGCCAGGGTGGGCGGAGGGGGGACATCAGAGCCCACAGGCACCTGAGTGTCCCCCACAACCCCTGGGAAGATGGATAAACCTCCAGTGTGCCTGTGTCAGCAAATACACCAGGCCTCCTGTGTCCTTGTGTTGGGGAAGATGTGGGAGCAAGAAGTTGGAGTGAGAGGGAGGGGAACAGACTCTGGCCGGGTGGTGCCTTCTGTGTGGGTGCAGCTAAAGGCTCCTGTGCAATTGGGTATGCTCTGGGTTCCTACCTGGACTAGGGAATGATCCTGCGGGTTAACTCAGGTCAGACATTGTTCTAAGCACTTTGCAAGTATTAACTCATTGAATCCTCACCACTACCTATGACCTAGGAACTACTATTATCCTGGTTTTATAGATGAGGAGACTGAGACACAGCAAGGCAAAGCGTCTTGCTCAAGGTCATGCAGCTAGGAATGGCAGAGCTGTGATTTGAGCTCAGAGTCTGGCTTCAGAATTGGTGCTCGAAACCACTGAACTTCTAACCTGTCGGGTGGACGGAAGTGGGGCCGGGGCCCTGAATAAGCACAGTGAGGGGTAGGAAGTCAGGAGCACCCAGGGAGTACAGTCTGTGTTGGGCCCATCCTTGGGGCCCTGCCCCACTGCCTCTCTTCAGGGGGAGCTTATCAGCAGGGACCTGTGGGAGAAGACAGGCAAGGTTGTGGAGGAGGACAGTGAGCAAAGAGCCCTTGGGTCATGACTTAGGGTGGCACCTGTACCCATAGGTGCACTGCTGGGTTCCTGTGTCAGAGCAGGAGTAGGTCATGGAGACGGGGGAGCCTAGGCCCAGGTGGCACTCATGGCTATATGTGTGCATGGTTTGTGCCTGTGTACATACATGTATGTGTGTATGCATAGTGTGTGTGCATGTATGTGTGTATGCATGGTGTCTGTGCACACGCATGTGTGTATACATGGCATGTGTTTGCATGTATGTGTGTATGCATGGTTTGTGCGTGTGTGCATGCATGGTGTATGTGCATGCATGGTGTGTGTGTGTGTGTATGCATGGTGTGTGTATGTGCGCATGCATGCTGTGTGTATGCATGGTGTGTGTATGTGTGAGTGCATGTTGGGGGAGGTCTGTGCAGCCAGGCACCCCAAGAGCAGGGAACACTAAGTGAGCTTGTGTGGACAAATATCAGGTGCCCAGCTGTTCCTGGTCTCTCGGTTTCTCTCCGTCCTTCTTTGGTCTTCTTAGTGGCTGGGCATATGGTGGCTTAGCCCCCAGGGCACCGTGAAGCCTGGCTGCTGAGATCATTGGATCCCCTGGACTGAGGGGTGGAAGGGAGGGGCATGTTCCCATGCAGGGATCAGAGAGTCGAGAGCCTGTCCCCAGACACCCTTAGTGAAAACTGGAACAGGGCCCTTGTCAGCCACTGGGAATATGCTCCTAGCCTTTTGCTGCTACATCACAGGCCCCGAGGCCATAGTGAGAGGGATCTTTAGTCCTTGTCACCCATCCCTCCGCCCCCAGCAGGCAGGCAGGAAAGGCCTCTAAGTGCTAACAGGACTGGGCATGACATAGGCTGACAGCCTCGGATGATAACAGGTGGGCATGCAGTCCAGCTGGCCCTACTTAGGAGCTGTCTTGCCTAGAGATCTCTGGGGCCAGGATCTCCCCTGCAGCCACCAGGCCCTTTCCAGCCCTTCCCAGAGACTCGCTGGTTTTCTTTTTCTTTTTCTTTTTTTTTTTGAGACAGAGTTTCACTCTTATTGCCCAGGCTGGAGTGCAATGGTGTGATCTCAGCTCAGCTCACTGTAACCTCCTCCTCCAGGGTTCAAGTGATTCTCCTGCCTCAGCCTCCCGAGTAGCTGGGATTACAGATGCCACCACCATGCCCAGCTAATTTTTGTATTTTTAGTAGAGACAAGATTTCACCATTTTGACCAGGCCAGCCTTGAACTCCTGACCTCAAGTGATTTGCCTGCCTTGGCCTCCCAAAGTGCAGGGATTACAAGCATGAGCCACCACGTCTGGCCCGATCTCTGGTTTTCTTAAGAAATCTTGTTTCACATCCCCAATTTCTATGAGTCTTCTCCTGTTCTGAGCTCTAAACCCCAAAGCACCTTCTGTGGCATTTGCCCATTTCTGGGTCTGTTCTGCCCTCTGCAGTCAGGTTTGCCAGGCTGCCAGGCTCCCAGGCCACCGGCCTTTCATGGTTCCTGTCACAGACAGCCTGTATATCTCAGCTTTGCACTGGGGAAGAAAAGCCACCCACACCCATACTGCCTGCACATCACATCCCAGCTCATTTGCTCATTAGAGCAAGGCAGGTCTCACAATCCCATTTTACAGATGGGGAAGCTGAGGTGTAAGAGGTGGTATTACCTGCTTACGCCTCACAGTTGGTGAGAATTGAGCCTGGAGCCTGAAGGCAGATCTACGTTGCTTTGAGCCAGGTACAGGCTTTTCACCTCTCCCTGGCCTGCCCAAGGCTGCCTGCCCTTCCAGATCTGCTCCAAACATCCCCTCATTGTAATGGGGATAATGAAGGACCTTAGTGATGATTTTTCATCTTCGATGTTATATCAGTTGTCCATTCTGCTGAGCGTCTACTGTGTCCTGGCACTGGGGATACAGGTACAGGGAGTATCTGCCTCTGGAGACTTTGCAGTTTCTTATCCTTACAACAGTCCTCTAAGCTAAGTATTATAGTCCCATTTTACAGGTAAGAAAAACTGAGGCCCCTCAACTTAAGTAGCAGGGTAGTGATCTGATCCCAGGTTGCCTGACTCTGGCACCTGCAATTGGTTCCTCTGTGCACAAAGCCCTCTTTGAAACCCCGCTTCCCTCCTCCCTGGGGTAGCATTTAGATGGATGGTTAGTAACTGGTGCAGCTTAAGTCCTAACAGTCTGGCTGGTTGGCCGGTGCATATGCACTCAGGGTCCGCCACCGTCCCCAATTCTGGATTTAGCCATCATGTACAAGTACGCCAATCATTTGTCCTGGGTGCACTCAGCCACATCTCTCTGTAGGAAGGAGACTCGCCCTCCTGTCTTTGGGGTCAGGACCTTGCTTCGAGGTCTCAAGTAATGCTGCAGTCTCGTTGTATGGCAGAAGAGGGAAGCAGAGCCCAGAGGGGGAATGTGTCTTGCCCAGCTTCCACAGCACATTAGGGGCAGGGCTCTGAGTGGAAACTCCAGGCCCTGAGTGGCAGGACCTTACGGGGCTGGGAGAGGCCAAGGACACACCCATTTCCTGGCACTGCTGCCACATTAATAACAAATACAAAGAAATGCCAAAGCAAGGTTAGGGAATTGCAGCATATTTTGAATTTTACATTTAAATCGTAATACAACATAATTATGCCAGTTGCAAGATAATTACAGGTTTTATAAAAAAATATTAATTCATAGTGCACTGCAGGCAGTGAGATTTGGGAATGGAAAGCCCTTTTTAAGTTGCACAAGGAAAGACGTTTCTGAGCCCCGTTGGTGGCTTCTGTGGCTGTGTAACCTCATTTGGGAAGGGCAGCACGGGTCCCAAACTAAGGCCCTTCACAAATGGGAGGCAGCCCCAAGAGCCCTGCCTGGCCCCCTTCCCGCCCCTGGAGAAGCCCTTGACGGCTTTGGAGCTGCCCGGCCCCTTGGTGGATGGCCTGGGGCAAAGGAGGGGCTGGGAGCAGAGTGGGGTGCCTTTCCTGCTCTGCCTCTCAGATGTTTTCTGCAAGTTGAGCTGTCCCTGCACAGCCTGAGGGGGTCTGCAGGAGACCTACTGAGGTCCAGGGGCCCCTGCCTGGTTTGAGGACATCCTGATCCCTTTTGGGCTATTCTCTCAGCAAACAGTTAAAGAGAGGAAGGGCACAGAGTTGGGGGGGGCGGTCCCAGCTCACCCAGCCCTGAGCCCTTGTCCTAGTGACAGGAGCAGGGGTCAGGAGCCTGAGACCCACGGCAGGGGTCAAACCCCATTCGACAGCCGCCCTCCCTGCCTTGGGTTTTGCTCTCAGAAGGTGGCTGGGCAGCATCTGATTTTGCAAAAGACAGCATAGTCTGGGAAAAGGGACCCACCAAGTTACACCCACCCACCTTGCTTATTAGATTGCACTCAGGCCTCAGAGACCCATGGAAAAATGTCAGAGCCTTGTAGGGCTTGTCCAGTTTACAGTTGGGGAACTGGAGGCCCGGAGAAGTGAAGCGACTAGCCCCAGGGCACACATCGAGGGGTGGCTGATAGAATCTCACATCTCCCAACTCCCTGCCCAGAGAAAGCTCCCCATACTCCACAGCTCCTGACCCAGTGACCTCCCCACACCAGGCTGCACTTCCCAGCATACCCCACACACCTGGGTTCACCCCAGAAAGGGGAAGGGCCTCTCAGTGCATCACCCAATGGAGCAGCAGCCCAGAGCCTGAAGTCCTGGTTGCTGTCCTTCCTGTCACCTGGACGCAGCATATAAATCACCCTTTGAGGCCCTAATCATCTTTCTATAAATATCAGAGTCTCATTTCGGAGGGGAGCAGGAACGGGAGCTCTTCTGCCTTCCTGACTGTGTTTAAAATCTGATTTAGAATTAATTTCCTTGGTTGTCCACAGTGGGCACCTTATTTGTCAAATCTCCAGCTCCTTTCGGGGGAGAGCAGAGAGGTGGCTGGGGCCGCAGTAAGCTGCTGGCCTGACAGGTAGCCTGGGCAAGGTGCCCTCGGCAGGGGCAGGAGCCCCTCCTGGCTTGAGTCCCGATACCCAGGCAGGCGCAGGCTCCGGAAGCACCCTGGGTCGACAGGCAGGGCCGGGCCCCAGCCCAGAGCTGCTCCATCTGTCTCAGCCATTAATTCCCGGCCCAGCCTCCAGGTCTCGGGGCTCCCTGAGGCCTGGTGATTAGTATTCTTATTAAAGATTATTTTATTTTCATTGCGTGGATTAATCTGGCCTTGACACGTTATAGCCATATGGGTATTAGCCGAGCGTGTGAGAACTGCCAATGGGTGAGCCACAGCAGCACCGCCATCTCTCAGCTCTGGGACAGTGCTGGGAGGATGGGGACGGGGAAGGCCACAGCTTGGGGGGCTCCCCAGCCTGGCCAAAGGTCCCAGCTCCACTGGGAACCCGGGGCAAGGCACTCAGCCTCCCTGAGCCTGTTTCCTCTTCTATCAAACAATTATAAGAATTCCAACTACCTTTGGGAGGCCAAGGCGGGTGGATCACGAGGTCAAGAGATCGAGACCATCCTGGTCAACATGGAGAAACCCCGTCTCTACTAAAAATACAAAAACTTAGCTGGGCATGGTGGCGCATGCCTGTAATCCCAGCTACTCGAGAGGCTGAGGCAGGAGAATTGCTTGAACCCAGGCGGTGGAGGTTGCGGTGAGCCAAGATCGCACCATTGCACTCCAGCCTGGGTAACAAGAGCAAAACTCCGTCTCAAAAAAAAAGAATTACAACTACACTGATTGTTATGACAACAAGTGCAGGGTACTGCCCTGGCCTGAATTTACGCATCTTCGCTCATGTCATCCTTGCCACCTCCCTCTAAGGCAGGTAGAATTATGATCTCCACTTTACAGACGAGGAAACTGACTTCCAGCAATTTGCCTGATGTCAGCCAGCTCAGACCAAGGGGGTTAGGCAAGGACAGGAACCCAGGCACCATAGCCGAGCTGCTGCTCTGGCCTGATGAGAACCAGGTGAACCCCGGCTGGAGCGGGTCAGAGACTTGCAGGGGCTTCCCTCAGGCCCCACATCACACCGTGAGACCTTGCCTGTCTGTCTCCCAACGCCCTGGAAGCTCCCTGAGAGCAGGCCCAGCTCTTACTTCTCTCGGGTCCATAGTAGAAGCTCAATAAATGTGGGGAAAAGGAATAAATGAGGGAGGGAAGAAGCACAGGGTCTCTGAGATGCTAATCGCTGTGGATTGGATCATTACAGTGAGGATTACTGTCATTCGGTTTAACAATAGGTTCAACAAATATCTGCCGACAAAATGCAAAGCCCTCTTCTGAAGATGCCACCCCCAGCAGCCCCCGGGGCTCAGAAGGAGCCTGAGCCCCAGGCTGTGCCCCAGGACTGAGCCTCCTGGGAGGCTTCTGGGAAGAGGAGTCAGTATCACAGTGTGTCAATCAAGACTCCCCATGACTCCGGGCTCCCAGCCCTGAGCTGAGCCCCCAGGCAGGCCTGAGCCCTCTCGGGGTCCTCTGGAGGGGAAGGAAAGATGTCGCAAGACTGGGGTGTGTTTCCCCCGACCCTGCAACTTACAAGCCCTTTCTGGCTCTGCAGCCTTCTAGAATATGAAGCAACTTCAGGGTGTTACCATGTCTCCTGACTCCAGGTTTTCTCTCAAGTTTGTAGAATTTTACAAATTAACCCGGTTTTAGCTTTTATAATAGAGATATGATCAACATCCAGAGAAGAAACGCTCTGCAGTGGCGTGATGTCTTTGTAAATGAAGCTTCTCTCAGACACTGAGTTTTCCAGAACAGGATTTAGTGGCGAGAGAACCGCAGTGAGATTCCCGGTGGCCCCTGTTGCAAAGGACTGCAGTTCCACGGACGGAGCCAGGAGCTGCCTGGCAGGGTGGCATTTGGTCCACTCGAACCTCTGGGGTCTCTGCCCAGAGCAGATAATGGTGGGATCCACTCAGTTGGAAAACTGCCGCCTGGGGTTTAACAGCATCTGCCCGGGCCAGCACTGGACAGGTTCTGGGACGTTGAGATGTGGAAGGCAACCCTACTCTGTTCACAGGATCTGCCTACAAGGGCCCGCCAGTCTGGAAGGAGAGTCAGACACAGATAAGCCAGTACAGCCATAGTATTGCAGGTGGTAAGGCCAAGCAGGGGCTGCAGAAGCCTGGTGGGGAATGGCCGTTTCTGTGTGTGTGTGTGTCTAGAGGTCCAGAAGGGACAGTCAAAATGAACCTTAAAAAGGAGTTCAGCCGGGCGTGGTGGCTCACGCCTGTAATCCCAGCACTTTGGGAGGCCGAGGCAGGTGGATCACAAGGTCAAGAGATCGAGACCATCCTGGTCAACATGGTGAAACCCCATCTCTGCTAAAAATACAAACCCAGGAAGTGGAGGTTGTGGTGAGCCGAGATCGCGCCGTTGCACTTGAGCCTTAGTAACAAGAGCGAAACTCCATCTCAAAAAAAAAAGGAGTTCCGTAGGTGGACAAAGGAGAAAAGGCATCCCAGGAAGAGAGCTCAGCACATGCAAAGGCCCCGAAGCAGGAATCAGCCTGCTGGGCGTGGGCATTGAGCAGTGCTTTACTTTGGCCTAAGGATGGCAGTGAGGGGCAGCACTAAAGGAGGCTGCCAGTGGGTTTTGACTGGGCAGGGAGGGATTTGAATGCCAGGTTGCATTGTCTAAGCCCTGGGAAGCCTGTGAGGTGTGAAACAGGCAGTGACTAAGTGAGATGTGCATTTGAGAGATTCCCTTAACCTAGGATATTCCCCTCCCTGCACAACTGACCCGTTCTTTTTCTTTCTTTTGAAACAGAGTCTTGCTCTGTCGCCAGGCACCAGTCTGGAGTGCAATGGTGCAATCTTGGCTCACTGCAACCTCTGCCTCCCGGGTTCAAGCGATTCTTCTGCCTCAGCCTCCCAAGTAGCTGGAACTACAGCTGTGCACCACCACGCCCAGCTAATTTTTGTATTTTTTAGTAGTTTCACCATGCTGACTAGGATGGTCTCGATCTCTTGACCTCGTGATCTGCCCACCTTGGCCTCCCAAAGTGTTGGAGTGAGCCACCACGCCCAGCCGACTTATTCTTATTCTTTAGGCCACAACTCAAATATCTCCTCCTCCGGGAAGTAGCTCCTCCCACCATTTACCCTTCCACCTCCTTAGCCCCCTTATTCTCTCCCTCCCTCCTAGCGGTGATCACAGCTGAGAGCCAGAGGCTCTGGTTCACAGCCCTCTGAGGTCCAAACAGGCCTGGTCTGGAGTCCCACTCATGAGCAGTGGTTGACTGAAGGCACGATCATGCAGGCAGCTGGGGTGGGGAGGCAGAGCTGAAGGCCAAGTCTGAAGGCTACTGTGGGTGACAAGTGAGATAGGATGTGGCAGCAGCTGGAGAGGGGCAGGTCCCAACCACAGTGACAGTGACAGTGACAGTGTGGGCCCAGGAGCGGGGGAGCTTGCACTTCTTGGATAGTCAGCCTCCCTCAGGGAGCTTGTAAAACAGATCCCAAGGTACTGGCCCTGGCTCTTCTAACCCAGCTGTCTGAGCTGGGGCCAGGAATCTGTGCTTTTGTGGAGGTGGCTCTGTGTCTGCCTGTGTTTGGGAAGCCAGGGTCTTACCACCTGTGTCCCCTTTCCAGTTGCCTTCCTAGCATCCCCATCCCTGCCTGCTTCCTAATCCCACCCAAGTCACTCCTGGGTATTTGATCCTCAGCCCCAGGGTCCTGTCCCCTAGGCTGGTGTCCTGTCTAAGGACCAATGTCCCATGAAGGGCAGAAGGACAGCATCTCCACCCCTAAAAATGGAGACAGGGCCTGGGTGAAGGGATCAGTTGGAGGAGGGCAGGGAATTTGGAGAAGCTCAGGGGTGGGGCTGACTTTGAGGCTGGGACTCCCACGTCAGAGTCTAACTTCAGCTCAGTCCCAACCTGCTATGCAACACTGTGAGATGCCGTCCCCCTGTACACTTCAGTTCTGCCACCTGCAAATGAGGGCGGCACCGGGCAGTGCTAAAGATATGCACCTCTGTCCCTCCAGGGGACTCCCCAGGAAGCTGAGAGCCACAGTGCAAGCTGTCCCCAAGGCCTGCCAGGGTGTTCCTGCTGGCTCACGTGCAGCCGCTTCTCCTCCACAGCCTGCGAGCTGGGTTTCTACAAGTCAGCCCCTGGGGACCAGCTGTGTGCCCGCTGCCCTCCCCACAGCCACTCCGCAGCCCCAGCTGCCCAAGCCTGCCGCTGTGACCTCAGCTACTACCGCGCAGCCCTGGACCCACCGTCCTCAGCCTGCACCCGTGAGTACCACGCCCAGATGGCAGCACCCTTGAGCCCAAGACTGGGCCGGGCCCCTGTGCTTTGTCCTGCAGGACTCAGAGAGCCAGTTTTCTGCTGGTGGAGCAGGGGTAGGTAGACCAGCAGAGCCACCTGAGGTCAGTCTTGGGTCGGGGTGCAGGGGTGACTCTAACCCCTCCATGGTGAGATCTAGACCTCTCTGGGCTCGCAGTCTGTCATGTGTCACCTGCCCTGGAGGGCCAGAGTGGAGCTGGCCTCACATTCCTCCCCACACTGGGCAGTTTTCGTCATCATCTGATCTAGCGCTGATGCCGATGTCTTCACCAGGTGGGCAGGCTAGGGTGCTCGCCTGTGTGGAGAGGGTGGGGGTTAGAGCAGCAACCCCTCCATCACCATCATCTTTGATGAACTTGCTGGAACTGCTGAGTACTGGGAGCTGCCTTCAGTGTGTATGGTGTGTGTGCGTGCACATGGAGTTGGCATATCTGATTCTGTGTGTGCCACGGGACCACTGCAGTGAGTGTGTGGCTTTGTGTGTCTGTGTGGGCAGCTGCCCTTACAGATGATGCCTATATCATGTTTGGATGGCTGCATGTAAATGTGCGATGTGTACTTGAGCTCACACATATAAAGGATTCGTCACATATATTAAGGATTCTTAGGAGGAGGGGTGTGTGTGTGGGGGGGTTGTGTGTACATGTGGGTACCTGCAGGGGACTCAGAAGTCCTTGTAAAGCTTGAACGAGGGTGTCTTGTGAGCTTAGCACATGTGTGTGCCCATGCGCACACCTGACCCTGCAGGGATGCCTGTGCCTGGAGAGGGTGTGGCTGTGCATGCACGTGCGCTACATACCCGACGGTAAGGGAGGGATTCTGCGCTCGTGCCTGCAGGGCTGTGTGACTCTCCTACCTTCTGCTGATGCAGCAACGGGGTTCTCTCCTCTCCTCTGTCCTGATGGGCCACTCACACTGCCATCCCAGGCCTGGGGAGAGGCCATGGCCTGCTCAGCCCAGCCAGTTACCAACCCTGGGCTCTTGTGGTGGGGCAAAAGGCACTTCAGACTGTTCTGATTTTGCTCTGAATCTGCCCAAGCCTCGCCCCCGCCTTCCACTCCCATGCATCCATCACCACCCAGCCCCAGCCTCACTGCGCATAGCAGGTAAGGGCCCAGATACACCCATGCCTGCATGCTTCTGCACAGACATGCACATGCCCACTCTCCTCCACTGCCCCACCCAGATCTGAGCATGTTCCCCTGTGGGACCTGTTGGGGCAAAAAAGGTGGCCGGATGTGATGTGGTGCCAGTGTGGGCTCCTCAGGCAAGGCGAGTCCAGCTCCAGGTCATGGACACTCAGTGTGAAGCTATCTGGACCCTGGTTTCTTTCCAACCCCACAGCTCAGTTTAGGCTCTGGAAAGCTTAAGATCATAAAGACTAAGCTTTTAATATTCTGTACCCTTCAGATGTTACAGCTCTCTTCTCTTCAGACTGTACGATTCTGTTCCAAGATCTTACAATTCTATTTTCTGAAGATCTAAGATTCTCTGCCTAGGATTCTGAGAGCTGGAATTTTGAGGCCAGGAGTCCCCACAGACTCCCATGCCCTCCTGGCTCAAATCCCCATCCCAGCCCCCTGGCCCCCAGCCCCACATCCTGGTCTGCTCAACCAAGGGGTCACCCCTCTCTCTCCAGAGTCTGTGCTGCCGGACAGGGGCTCCCATGCCCGGGGTGGGGGAGGGGTTGCTTGGCGCACACAGCCATGGGGATACATGGTGGGCTTCCGGAGGCCTCCACTTAGTTCCACCATGCGTGCTCAGAGGGGTCAAGGAATGGATGTGGCTGCAAATACCTGGGTTGCTTACACATGGGATGGCTGCTGTAGGTGCCCCTGGGACTGTGCAATCTCTCTCCGGCTCCGGGTGAGCACTGGGACACCCAGACCCTGGGATTACAGTGGTCCTGATGGACTGGGGGGACAGGGTCCCAGGGTTCTGTGCCCAGACCCTGACACTGTGGTCCCATTCTGATGGCAGAGGCATAACCTCTGCCCTCGGGGAGGCTCCAGAGGTTGGGATAGATACGACCTTATCTTTAAGGAGCCCTAAATATGATGGGGAGACCTTCCCTTCCCCAGGTCTGATGATAGGAAGATGGGACAGCCCAAATAGCCTCTGCCCCATCTGTCACCCTCTGCCCTCAGGGCCACCCTCGGCACCCGTGAACCTCATCTCCAGTGTGAATGGAACATCGGTGACTCTGGAGTGGGCCCCTCCCCTGGACCCAGGTGGCCGCAGTGACATCACCTACAACGCTGTGTGCCGCCGCTGCCCCTGGGCACTCAGCCACTGCGAGGCATGCGGGAGCGGCACCCGCTTTGTGCCCCAGCAGACAAGCCTGGTGCAGGCCAGCCTGCTGGTGGCCAACCTGCTGGCCCACATGAACTACTCCTTCTGGATCGAGGCCGTCAATGGCGTGTCTGACCTGAGCCCCGAGCCCCGCCGGGCCGCCGTGGTCAACATCACTACGAACCAGGCAGGTAGGCAGAGAAGCTCCATCCCGCAGCTTCCCGGTCCCCCAGCTTTCCCTGCCCCAGGCCCATCCAGGGATCAGAGCTCTGCCAGGGACGTGCTGTGGAACTTTAGGCAAGTGCCTGCCTCTCTGGCCCTGCCCTCCTCCTCACCAGGACCCAGAGCTGGAGGCTCTTCAGGCCCTTAGAAAAGTGGAACACGTTCTATAAGTAAGAGAAGTCCCAAAAGCTCAGAGGCAGGCTGGTGTGGCTGTTGTAAGCCTGGGTTCCAGAACTTTCCCTCTCTGTGCCTCTGTTTCCTCCCTGGTGCAATGGGAATAATAGTAGCTGCCTGAGGTCCTCTCGGGAGGCTTAAATGAGAGGAATGAAATTGCTTAGCCCAGCACCTGGCCCGTGGTAAATGCTCAATAAATGTCATTAAAAAATAAAATTACTCTGATGATCATTTTCCAGAACAGCTGCTACAGCTGCCCCTGGGATAGACTTGGCTGCGTTGGCTTGGACCACAGTCATTTCTCTCTCCGTTTCTGGCCAGTTGGTGGGCTCAATTCACCCCCTGGAACCTCTTTCTTCCCAAACTCTGGAGAATCCTCCCTGTAAAGTAACAGCCTGACCCAAGAGCCCATCCCTGGCAGCTTCCTGTGCCCAGGACTCTCACCTGTGCCCAGGACCCTCAGCCCCCACCCACCATCTCCTCCCCAAACCACGCAGCCCTGGTCCCACAGACACTACTCCTACCACGTTACAGAGGAAGAAACAGGTCTGAGGCCAGGCATGGTGGCTCACGCCTGTAATCCCAGCACTTTGAGAGGCTGAGGCTGGCGGATCGCAAGGTCAAGAGATCAAGACCATCCTGGCCAACATGGTGAAACCCCGTCTCTACTAAAAATATAAAAATTAGCTGGGTGTGGTGGCAGGCACCTGTAGTCCTAGCTACTCGGGAGGCTGAAGTAGAATCGCTTGAACCCGGGAGGTGAGGTTGCAGTGAACCAAGATCACACCACTGCACTCCAGCCTGGTGACACAGAGAGACTCTGTCTCAAAAAATAAAAAAAGAAAAACAAAGAAACTGAGGTCTGGAGAGCCACCCAGGGCCACCTGACAGGAAGTGGCAGAGGCAGGGCTCAAACCCAGGTCTGTGTCACTCCCGAGAGAAGCAGGTTGCCCCAACTCTGAATTCAGGGCATGCTGCTCCCTGCTGCCGGCGCTTCACCCCTTCAGAAGATTCCCTCCTTCCACAGCTCTCATGGAACACCCACTAAATGCCAAGCGAGGCACCAGGTGCTGGCAACACAGAGAGTGACCTACGTGCCCCGTGGTAAAGCCCAGCCCTGACACACCTGTCTCTGGCCACCTAAACTAGCAAACTAAACCCCTCCCTGGAACTTTCCTTCCGGCCACCAGACCCCTTCTCTTCCTATAAGAACCTCTCTGCCTGAGCCTGGCAGATCTACTTTCTCTCCACTGCAGGTCCTCTCTGTGTCTTTCCTTGCCTCTCCCCAGAAATCAGCACCCTCGTGTGGCCACATCCATGAGCGCCTCTCGCCCTTTCATTTCCTCCTCCTGGGAACACTTTTCTCTTGCTTCTGTGTCCCAGCCCACCCCACTTCCCATGGACCTGTGTGGCCTGTCCCTCTCCATATTTGTAGCCTCACCTCCTCTAAATGGCCTCTAAAGGTCATGGGTCCCTGGGAATGTCCTGTGTACCCAGATCCATCTTTTCTGGGGGGCTGTTTCAGGGCTCACAACTTTGAATTCCACCTTAGTGCTGACAACCCTCAACTCGTGTCCCCACGCAGACCTCTCCCCTGGGACCCAGCTGCCCACTCCCGTCTCCATGTGGACACGCGAAAAACAAACAACCCCGCCACACCTGCCCCTGCCCCACCCTAGGACATGGTGCCCCCAAACCCAAGCTGTCATTCTTGATGCTCATGCATGTCACATCCATGCACCTGGAAGCCCCAGGGGCCTCCCTTCAAAATGACCAACTGACTCCCAGCCTGGACCATCACGGGAGCCACTGTTGCCTAACCCCCATGAGACGGTCTCCAAGCACTCCTGAGTGAGCTTTACAGATAGAAGTGAGGGCCTAGCATGGTGGCTCACGCCTGTAATCCCGGCATTTTGGGAGGCCAAGGCAGGAGGATCGCTTGAGGCCAGGAGTTTGAAACCAGCCTGGGCAACATGGGGAGACCCATCTCTACAAAAAAACCTTTTTTTTTTTTGAGTCAATGTCTCACTCTGTCGCCCATGCTGGAGTGCAGTGGCACAATCACAGCTTGCTGCAGCCTTGGCCTCCAGAGTCCAAGTGATCCTCACACCTCAGCCCCCCAAGTAGCTGACCTAAGGCACACACCCCCATGCCCAGCTGATTTTTTCATTTTTGTAGAGATGGGGTCTCCCTATGTTGCCCAGGCTGATATGAAACTCCTGGACTCAAGTGAACCTCCTGCCTCAGCCTCCCAAAGTGCTGGGATTACAGGTATGCGCCACTGTGCTCAGCCCCCCAAAATTTTTTTAATGAAAATATGTGAGATCAAGATATCCTCAAAGCCCTTCACAGCCCAGACTGAGTGCACACGCAGTTCAGACACTCTCAGGCCAGGTGTGGACCCACATAGCTTCACCCCTGCCCGGCTCTGCAGAGTACCTCTCTCCCTCGCTCACTCTCTTCCGGCCATGCTGGCCTCTGGTGCTTCTCCTCGAACACGCTGGGTCCTTCCCTGCTGCTAGGCGGTGGCCTGGCTTCCCCTTTGGAATGATTCATTCTTCCCCTGACATTCCCATGCCTGGCTCCTGTGCCCTGGAAGCTCTCCCGACCACCCCCGCTGAAACGGCCCAGTGCCTTCCGGGCCCTGCAGAGGCCTTCTCCATCACAGCACCCTCTTCCTGCCTTTCCCAGCATCAAAAAAGTCCTGTTCTCCTGTTTATTGGACTCCCTGTCTCCTTTCCTGGGACAGAAGCTCCTTGAGGGCTGCCTTGGGCACCCCAGTGTTCCCGGCTCCTAGTCCAGTGCCCAGCATATGATAGGCCCTCAGGAGCCTAGAGGATCAAGTGACAGCTCTGAGAAAACAGGGACTGTGCTCAAAGACCACCTGCTCCTGCCTGCGCCTCAGCCCTTCTCCCTCACCATCGCCTCTCCTCCATAACCAACTCCTTCCTAGAGCCCTCCTGGACGCAAAGCCCATTCCCCTCCCGCTCTGAGCCCTGGTCTCACTCTGTCCGCCCCCATTCCGCAGCACCTCCTGCCTTGGTTTTTAAGAGACACACCTCGTGTGTCCCTTGCAAACAGTGGCCTCATCGCATCCTTCCCTCTTTCTGGCAGGTAGTGCTTACTAGCTTCACCTAATAAAGGGGGATCTGGTGTCTACAGAGAGCAAGTGACTTACCCAGGGTCCCAGCTAGCAAAGGAGGGGGCCGAGTCCCGAACCCACGCCTGGCTCCCACACTGACTGGCTTTCTCCGGACCACACCCTTCCAGTGCAACTCTGGAGCTGCTGCTTAATTTCTCATGCGAGACTCAGCAGCATTTATTGGGCACCTAGTGTGTGCAGTCCCTGCCCTCAGGGAGATCCAGCTGTGCTGGGGATGCCCAGACATGAGGGGAGACTTGGTCACGTGGGGCAGAGAGTCAGAACTCAGGGTGAGCAGAGGGGAGGAGGAGGCCTGAGGGCAGGAGGAGTAGCGGGGACAGGGCAGTTCCCTCCATTTGGCTTTGGCTGTGTCTGACGCCTCCCAGTACGCTCCCCTCTGGGCTGACGGTGCCTGAGCCAGGAGGGAGGGGTGCATGAAGAAAGGCGTGGGTGACTCCGTCAAAGAGGGTGGGGTGGGTGGGCGACCAAGTGTGACTGGGAGAATACTTGGGGCTCGGCTCATCCCCTTCCCTCAGCATCCAGAGCTGTCCCAGCTACGCTCCCCAAACCCAGGCAGTGAGGGGCCAGTTCCTCCATTCTTCCAACACTTATTTCTCCTGACCTTTCCGCCTTCCTCAAGGTCTTCCAGGAAGCTGGTCCACACTGGGTCCTGGGCTGGGGAAGGAGGCTCAGACCTCTTCTTGGCCAAGCCATCCCCAGCATCCAGACCAAGCCAGGCCATGCCAACCCCAGGGGACTGACCCCAAGTGGCCACCAGTGATTTTTTGGGAGAACTGGAGGGTGCTGGCTGTCCTGGGGCTGGGGCAGGACCGTCAGGAAGCTGAGCAGGGCTGGAACCAGGATCCCCGGGTGGAGCCTGGGAAGGAGGGTGGGAGAGAGGCCACCCCTTGTCTCCTGTTGGCCCTTCTGACGGGTTCGGCCGCCCCAGCCCCGTCCCAGGTGGTGGTGATCCGGCAGGAGCGGGCAGGGCAGACCAGCGTCTCGCTGCTGTGGCAGGAGCCCGAGCAGCCCAACGGCATCATCCTGGAGTATGAGATCAAGTACTACGAGAAGGTACTTAGGGCAGGACGCAGCGGGAGGGGCTGGGCCAGCAGGGCAGGGCCCACTGACCAGCATCCCGTGGCAGGACAAGGAGATGCAGAGCTACTCCACCCTCAAGGCCGTCACCACCAGAGCCACCGTCTCCGGCCTGAAGCCAGGCACACGCTACGTATTCCAGGTTCGAGCCCGCACCTCGGCGGGCTGCGGCCGATTCAGCCAGGCCATGGAGGTGGAGACCGGGAAACCCCGTGAGTGCAGGGAGTGGGTGGGTGTGGGCGCAGAGCAGCCCAGGCACCAGGACCCAGGGTGGAGGAGGAGATGGCTGAGGAGAAAGCTAATGTGGGCTGAGCTGGTGCCAATGCAGGATTTCTGTTTCCTTGCCCTGCCAAGTGGTGCTGTTGGAGTTTTTTCTTTTTCTTTCTTTCCTTTTTTTTTTTTTTGAGATGGAGTTTCACTCTGCCACTCTGGCTGGAGTGCAGTGGTGTGATCTTGGCTCACTGCAGCCTCTGCCCCCCCGGGTTCAAGGGATTCCTCCTGCCTCAGCCTCCAGAGTAGCTGGGATTACAGGTTGCAAACACTACACCTGACTAATTTTTTTTAGATTTGCTCCATTACCCAGGCTGGAGTGTAGTGGCACGATCTCTGCTCACTGCAACCTCTGCCTCCTGGGTTCAAGCAATTCTCTTGACTCAGCCTCCTGAGTGCTAGGATTACAGGCACCTGCCACTGTGGCTGGCTAATTTTTATATTTTTAGTAGAGATGGGGTTTCACCATCTTGGCCAGGCTGGTCTCAAACTCCTGACCTTGTGATCCACTCTCCTCAGCCTCCCAAAGTGCTGGGCTTACAGGCGTGAGCCACTGCACCCAGCCTAATTTTTGTGTATTTAATAGAAATGGGGTTTCACCATGTTGACCAGGCGTCTTGAACTCCTGACCTCAGGTGATCTGCCTGCCTTGGCCTCCCAACGTGCTGGGATTATAGGCATGAACCACCACACTTGGCCTCTGTTGGCATTTTTACAGGTGAAAAACAGGCTCAGGGAAGGACGGTTGCTTGCCTAAGGCGGCAGAGCTGGTGACAGCCCCCCTCCTCACACATACATGCACACACACACACACACATGGGCTGGTACTGAGATCAGTGTCAGGGTCTGGGACAAGCAGCATCGGCCTCACCTGGGCACTTAACAAAAATTCAAATTTCCAATCCTTACCCCAGCCCTTCAGAAACCCTGTGGGTGGGGCCCAGCCATCTGGGTTTTCACAAGCCCTCGGTGATCCCCAGGCACTGCCACATTTGGGACCCTCTGACTTTGAGTCTGTCCCTTTCACTCTCCTCCTGCCCCAATCTCCAGCCTGAGTCAGGTCTCCCATCTGAGCAACTGCTGCATGGGGGAGCTAGGGCAGAGCTTGTGACCTGGCACTCCGTGGGCGTCTGACTCCCTGGCATCTGAGTGCCTCTGGTGCTCATAGGCCTGGCACCCCCTCGAGACCACCCGGATGGGAATCCTGAGCCCTCCATCCTATTTAATCGAGTTCTCTGAGCCTCAGCTTTCCATCTGAAAACTGAAGATGGTGCTGGGGTCTCCCTGGAAGGGACGAGGGCAGGGTTTACTGAGGCTGGAAGGTACAACTCTCAGCACACTCCACGTGTCAGGATAGCAGGAAGGACAGGGATTTATCGGCTCAGAGAACATGGGACTCTCCCCCTGTCCCACAGTCCCAGGAAGCAGCAGCACCAGCATTAGGAAGCCGGCAGCCAGGTCTCAAGGGCTTGAAGAGGAAGCTTAGTAGAGGATAGGGTGGGAGCAGAGGAGGAGCTGGCCTACACCCTGACTCTGGGCTGGCCCCCCACTGGCCCCAGGGTCCCAGCCAGGCAGGCTCCGAAGGCTGCCAGAGCCCTGGGCCCAAGGTCAGGGTTGAGAGTCTGGTCCCTGACCCTGGCTTTCCCTGCAGGGCCCCGCTATGACACCAGGACCATCGTCTGGATCTGCCTGACGCTCATCACGGGCCTCGTGGTGCTTCTGCTCCTGCTCATCTGCAAGAAGAGGTGGGTGGTCTGGCCCAGCCACTCCTAGCCCCTCCTCTCAAGCACCGTGCTTCCCACCTGCTCCCAGCCCCACCAAGCCAGTGGTCCCCATGTGCCTGGGGCTGGCTCACTTACAAACACATCATCTCATTTAACCCAATGACATGCTAGTAATGTAGAGATTCTGACCTCACTTTGCCGGTGAGTAAATTGGGGATCAGAGAGGTTAGGCTTCTTGCGAAAACCACACAGCTGATAGTTGTCAGAGCTGGGACGTGAGCCTCGGTCTGTTAAACTAAAGCTCATACTCTCAGTTATCTTCTCCTCTCCACTCCATTCCGGAGGGAGGTGGAGGCAGGATAATCTCTGGGCATGGGATCCCAGACACTAAGAATTGTAAGGATCATTAATTAATGGAGAGATGCTGGCCCAGGAAAGGGAGGGGCTTGCCAAGGTCACCCAGTGGAGTTGGCCACAGAAGCCTCATCTCCAATGCCCCCACCCAGGGTGCTTTCACATAACACTGGGCTATCAGCATAGTAGACTTTGCCAAGAGGGTCAAGGGGACTTGAGAACATTTTGAGGATGCCACCATGCTTGTGACCATCATAGCTGTCACATTTAGCTGGGTGGAGAGCCTGAGCTCAGGGACTCTCCCCTGCAGACTTTGTAAGGAGCAGGAACTGACCTGTCAGGAGAAGGGGCATGAAAAGAGACGCCATGACTTGTCCCCTGGTTGGGGTCAGGTCCCGGGCTAGGGATGGCCTGGCCTCAGGCAGGGCGGTGCCCTCCTCCGCAGGCACTGTGGCTACAGCAAGGCCTTCCAGGACTCAGACGAGGAGAAGATGCACTATCAGAATGGACAGGGTGAGTGCAGGGCCCAGAGGCCTGGGGCAGAGGGAGGGTTACAGGGGGACCCAGTGTGAGACAGGGGTGGCGCATGTGGGAAGGAGGAAGGTGCCCAGTGAAGAGGCCAGAGCCCCAGAGACAGACTCCAGGATGTCACAGAGACCCAGTGCCCCAGAGGGCAGTGTCGCTCACCCCTCTGGGACTCTCAGGCTCCATTCAGGATGCTAGAGGCCCTCTCTCCAAGGAAGGGCATACATCTGTATATGATTTCGGCGGGGAGGTTCATATACTCTCGGACAAGGACTCCTGCTATGGAGGGATGTTCAGGATTCTGTAGCGATCCCAGGAAACAAGGCACATCTGGGGCCACCTCCCTTCGTGCCCCAGTCCTGTGCCCATGGCAGACGGTAGCTTCAGGCATGTTGCTGATTCACACCGGGCCCAGGCGCAGCCTCGGATTCCTCCTTAACTATTTTTAAATATTTATTTATTTATTTATTTTTTTTTCTGAGATGGAGTCTCACTCTGTCACCCAGGCTGGAGTGCAGTGGCTCAGTCTCAGCTCACTGCAACCTCTGCCTCCGGAGTTCAGGAGATTCTCCTGCCTCAGCCCCCTTAGTAGCTGGGACTACAGGCATGCGCCACCATGCCCAGCTGATTTTTGTATTTTCAGTACAGATGGGGTTTCACCATGTTGGCCAGGCTGGTCTCCAACTCCTGACCTCAAGTGATCTGCCCGCCTCGGCCTCCCAAAGTGCTGGGATTCTAGGCGTGAGCCACTGTGCCCAGCCAGAAACTGTTTTCAATGAATCAAAGTTGACCCTTGTGGCAAAAACTTATTTTTGCTACATCCCTACCCCAGAACAATTTAGAAAGAGCTCAAGGACTGTAAAAGTGACCCCAGAAAATGACAGACATGCCCAGAACTCACTGGAGACTCCATAGCCCCATAGAAACTCCAGAGCGACTCCATGGAGACCCCACTTTCACTTGGGAAGCACTTATGGGGTATGTGCTGTTTGCTACCACATCTAGAGATTGCCAGACACCCCTCACCCCACCCCAGACCCATCCCAGGCCCAGGGAATGCCGGCAGAGAGAAATCCCTCCTGGACCCCACTGAAGGCTCTTCTCCCGCCCCTCAGCACCCCCACCTGTCTTCCTGCCCCTGCACCACCCCCCGGGAAAGCTCCCAGAGCCCCAGTTCTATGCGGAACCTCACACCTATGAGGAGCCAGGCCGGGCGGGCCACAGTTTCACCCGGGAGATCGAGGCCTCCAGGATCCACATCGAGAAAATCATCGGCTCTGGTAAGTCTCGGGGGTTGTGAGGGCAGAGACAGCACAGAGCAAGGTGGTGGTGGGGGTTACCCAGGGCAGAGGAAGAGTGTGACCCAGGGGCCTGGCAGGCCCAGGGGGTACAAGGGCCTGGGAGGCTGGGGGAGTCTGAGGGTCCCACTGCCCTCCCCCACCTGCCCCTCTCGGGGGTCTGCAGGAGAGTCAGGGGAAGTCTGCTACGGGAGGCTGCGGGTGCCAGGGCAGCGGGATGTGCCCGTGGCCATTAAGGCCCTCAAAGCCGGCTACACGGAGAGACAGCGGCGGGACTTCCTGAGCGAGGCATCCATCATGGGGCAATTCGACCACCCCAACATCATCCGCCTTGAGGGTGTCGTCACCCGAGGTAGGTGCCAGGCAAGGACAGCCTCACCCTGCAGTGCCCCTCCTGCCTGGACAGGCCTCTGCGTCTGTCCCCTCATCCATCCTGCTCTGCCCCACCTGACCCTGTCCTGTTGGCTCAGGTCCCCAAATGACTCGGGGTGCCCAGAGCCTGAGACCCCAGTGGAAGCCCAAGGCACCCTGGGGCTTTCAGTGCTGGCACAGGCCCTGGGATGGCGGTATTCTCCTGGGGTCTCTGATCAGCAACCCTGAGCCCCAAACCAAGAGCCACCCTCTCCCCACCGCCCGCCCCAGGCCGCCTGGCGATGATCGTGACAGAGTACATGGAGAACGGTTCTCTGGATGCCTTCCTGAGGGTGTGTCCCGCCCCCGCCTCCTGCATGGCTTGGGGAGGGGGTCCAGTTTGGGTGCTGGGAGATAGTGCGAAGCCCTCTAGCCCCCCCTCCCTGGCTTGGACATCACAGCAGGCCTGGGGGACCGGAGGCAGGTATAGGGAGGAGGTCTTTGAGATCAGCCAGTCAATCAAACTGCCTTTCCACCCCCATCGCATGAAAGTCCCTTTGTTCCACGGGGTCCTGCTGAAGGGGTGCTTCTATGGGAATCCAGGCCCCACCCAGTTGGGGAGCATGCTGGCTGTGGGGAAGACAGCTGGATTCCCAGCTCCTACCCTGCGGTTTCTTTGCTGGGTGCCCTTAGGCACAGAGCTTAACCTCTCTGGGCCTCCATCTCTCTTTCTGAAAAATGGTTAAGCAGTCATTGCAGCCCCACCTACCTGGCAGGGTTGCTGTGAGGGTAAATGAGACCGTGAGGCTTACCCTAACTGCAAGGGGCTTCGGAAGCAGTGAAGCTCTTGGTAAATTGCAACTTGCGTCTCAACTCGAGAGCACCATGCAGATGGGAGGGGCTCCTGTTCACGGACCAGGCACCTTGCCGGCCCTTCCTGAAGCCCAAGCCGTGTCCCCCTGCAGACCCACGATGGGCAGTTCAGCATCATGCAGCTGCTGGGCATGCTCAGAGGCGTGGGTGCCGGCATGCGCTACCTCTCAGACCTGGGCTACGTCCACCGAGACCTGGCCGCCCGCAACGTCCTAGTGGACAGCAACCTGGTCTGCAAGGTGTCAGACTTCGGACTCTCACGGGTGCTGGAGGATGACCCTGATGCTGCCTATACCACCACGGTGCGTAGCCCATACTCCTTCCTGCTAGATGGAGGGGCGGGGAGGGGCACCAGGGGCACCCAGGGCCCAACAGCTCTTCTGCACATAGTTGAATGAAGTTGGTGGTTTCCAGGTGGCCCCCAACCTGGGGCACACCCAGTGCCTTTCCCTGGGAAATGGGAACAGCCTTTGCCTGCCTTTCCTCTGTCACTGAGAGGACTGGAGAGACCCCAGGGCTGGTCCCAACGGCTACTCACTCACTCACCAGGAGACTTCAGGAGGGTGGGAATCTACCTGATTCCTAGCCAGACTCCGCATCTTCTCTAGAGTTTGCCTAAACACCAGCTGTTTTCAAATGTGTTCTGTGGAGATGTGGGCTTCTCTAGAGGTGCCTTAGAGGCAACCTTAAAGGCAGGAGCTGAGTGCGCAGGGGGGCAGTTTCCACCCCGGCTCCAACAGGACCCCTCCCTTAGCCTCTGTCCCACAGCCTCTGAGTAAGGTTTTGAATGGAGGAAGGATCCTGTGACAATGAAAGAAGGAAGGAAGGGAGTGAGGGATTGAGTGCAGAGAGGGAAGGAGGAAAGAAGGCAGGGGGGAAGGCAGGAAGGAAGGAAGGGAAGGAGGGAAGGAAGGAAGGAGGGAGAGAGGAAAGAAGGAAGGGAGGGAAGGATGAAGGAAGGGAGGAGAGAGAGGGAAGAAGAAAGGAGGGAAGTAGGAGGGAAGGAAGGATGGAGATAGGGAAGGACGGAAGGAGGGAGGGAAGGGAGAGAGGAAGGGAGGGGGGAGGGAAAGAAGAAAGGAGGGAATGAAGGAAGGAGGAAAGAAGAAGGAAGGGGAGGGGAGGAGAGAGAAGAGGAAGGGAGGGAAGGGAGGAAGGGAAGGAAGGACAGAGGGAAAAAGGGAGGGAGGGAAGGAGGGAAAAAGGAAGAAAGGAAGAAAGGGAGAGAGAAATGAAGGGAAGGAGGAAGGAAGGAAAAGGGAAGGAAGGAGAGAAGGAGGAAAGGGAGAGGGAAGGAAGGAGGGAAGGGAGAGAAGGAGGGAGGGGGTGGGGGAGGAAGAGGGGGAGGAAGAGGGGGAGGAAGGGAGGGAGAGAGGGAGGGAGGAAGGAAGGAAGGAGAAGGAGGGAGGAAGGAATGAGGGAGGAAAGGAAGAAAGGGAAGAAGAAGGGAAGGGAGGAAAGAAGGGAGGAAGAAAAGAAGGGTAAGGAGGAGAAAGGAGAAGGAAGTAGGGGAAGAGAAGGAAGAGGAAGAGTTAGAAAGCGAGGAGGCCGTGTCCCTGAGGCTCCTTGGCTTGTGACTGGTGCTGGCAGAGCACCTGCTGTGTCCAGCGCCCTCACTCCTTCCTCCCTCTTCACAGAGGCTCTCAAGGGGCCTCTCTCAGGACAGGCGCTCTGGGAACGTAGGGGCTGTGTTGCCCCTCTGGACTGGGAAGCGGGACCCCAGGCTTCTGCTCTCTGACTTGGAGGGCTCGGGGGACTCCCTGCCAGGCCTGGGCAGCCCCTGGACCCTTGTGTGTCCATCGCAGGGTGGGAAGATCCCCATCCGCTGGACGGCCCCAGAGGCCATTGCCTTCCGCACCTTCTCCTCAGCCAGCGACGTGTGGAGCTTCGGTGTGGTCATGTGGGAGGTGCTGGCCTATGGGGAGCGGCCCTACTGGAACATGACCAACCGGGATGTGAGTGCGGGGCCCTGGTGGGACCGGCCTCAGACGGTGGGGTCTCAGGGTCGGAGGAGGAACAGCTGAGCCCAGCACCACATCCCCTGCAGGTCATCAGCTCTGTAGAGGAGGGGTACCGCCTGCCTGCGCCCATGGGCTGCCCCCGTGCCCTGCACCAGCTCATGCTTGACTGCTGGCACAAGGACCGGGCACAGCGACCTCGTTTCTCCCAGATCGTCAGTGTCCTCGACGCACTGATCCGCAGCCCTGAAAGTCTCAGGGCCACCGCCACTGTCAGCAGGTGCCTGGCACTCACTCAGCTTCATTGAGGCGTGGCTGCCTCCCAGCATCGCCCCAGGCCTGTTCCGGGGACAGTTTGTCCATGACCCCTGGAGCAGACCCAGCCTGGGCCCCCAACCCCTGCCCTGCCTGGCCCCTTCCTCAGCCTGCTTATTCCAGGGGTCCAGCCTCCTGAACCCTCTGCCCACTGCTGAGCCAATACGGAGGCTGAGGGTGACCGCAGACCCAGCAGGCCACTTACCATAGGCCCCTGTGCCTCAGGTGCCCACCCCCTGCCTTCGCCCGGAGCTGCTTTGACCTCCGAGGTGGCAGTGGTGGTGGTGGAGGCCTCACCGTGGGGGACTGGCTGGACTCCATCCGCATGGGCCGGTACCGAGACCACTTCGCTGCGGGCGGCTACTCCTCTCTGGGCATGGTGCTACGCATGAACGCCCAGTGAGTGATGGGTGGGGATGGGGGCCCATGCGGGTGGGTGGATGCAGGGAGCCAGAGGCAGGGCTGCCAGGGAGGCTGAAGGGCCACTCATGGCCCTGGCTGCGTGTGCAGCTCCTGGCTTCCCAGGCCCAGCTGGCCAGCAGCACCATTCCTTCACAGGGACGTGCGCGCCCTGGGCATCACCCTCATGGGCCACCAGAAGAAGATCCTGGGCAGCATTCAGACCATGCGGGCCCAGCTGACCAGCACCCAGGGGCCCCGCCGGCACCTCTGACATGCAGCCGGCAGGGCCCAGGTGGCCACCAAGCCCACCCCAGGTCATGCCAGCGGCAGAGGTTGTGCGGGGCTGGCAGCAGGCAGGGCGGCCCCAGGCCTCTGCCCTCCTCTCGGGCGATAGCGGGGCTGAAGGCTCTGCCACAGGACCTGGAGTTATCAGGGGTCAGGCACCTGGGAAGGTGTCTTTGGTGGCCAGCCTGGCCAGGACACCTGTCCCCCAGGGCAGGTGCCTTCTCTTTTCCAGAGCCTGGGGCCCCCATGCCACAGAGACCAACAGTGACATCACTGGCCTGCATCTGTGTGTGTGTGTGTGTGTGTGTGTGTGTGTGTGTGTGTATGTGTGTGTGTGTGTGGTGGGGGGTGTTCTCACAAGGTCATGGGACCCATGTGAACAATGTGTGACCGCATGTGTCTGCCTCGAATCTCCACATGGACATGTGCATGTTTGGAGCATGTGCTTCTCTGTGAAGGCTGCAGGCACATGTGGGTGATGGTGGATGATGTGTCATGAATGAGGAGGTGTGTCACAAGGGTGTGAGCAGGGAACTCAGTGTGACACCGCCAGGTCCAGCACCCACGGGAACAGGGGAGAGGCTCATCCCTACATCCCCTCATGCCTGGAGGCTGGAGCCAGGGGCCACTTCTGAACTGCACCAGCACCAGGCCCACCCTTGTCTTCGCCCGGGTGAGCCCACCCTGGCTGTATCTCAGGTCTGGGTCCTCCCTCCAGCCGAGGAGGCCACCTGCAGCCTCTACCTGGCTCCCAACACTGCTTCAACAGGAAAACAGGGTTCCCGGCAGTCCCACTGGCCACCTTCATGGAGGCATCACGGCAGAACATACAAGAGGCCCACAGCTGGGCTTGGCTGCCTGGCCAGGGTCAGGGACTCAGCAGCCCCCTCTAGCCTCTGATGCCTTCCCTCCATGGCCCAGGTCTCACTTGAAGTCCTTTCTCGAACCTTTCACTTCCCAGCCCTGACACCTGCCCCTTGTCCCCAGGCCTAGGATCAGGGACCAGAGGATCGTAGCTTCTCAGCCCCCAGTCCACCCCTTCCTGTAGCATGTGGGGAGACTGAGGCCTGGAGAGTGGGGGGATGCCCTGTCCCAGGTCACACAGCAACCAAGTGTCAGAGTTGGGGCTCCGCCTCCCACCAAGGCTCTTGTCTCCATGCACCATCCCACATGGGTGCTGGGGGTGGAGGTGCCCTGGAAGCCCCTCTCCTCACACTGACCTCCCCTTACGGCCCACCAGGGTATGTAAATATCTCTTTTCTACCATGTCAGAATACTTTTTCCTCACTCCTGACAATGCAAAAATGGTCTTCAAAGCACATAAAAAGCACCCAGGGTGAGAAAGCCCCATCCCAGGGGCCATTGGCAAGCAGGGTAGCAGGAACCCCACTGTGTACCCCCTGCCAGCCCCAGAGGGAGGGGCAAGCCCAGCTCCCCAGCCCTGCCCCCCCCTCCCCATAGCCAGCACAGCTATCCCGCGGGGACACCAGCACTGAGCCCCCTCTCCCTCCTGCAATAATTCGGGGAGTCTCAGCCCCGTCCAGGTGCCGCGGCCAGCTCGCTACACCTCTATATATTATATTACTATATAGCCGAGCTGCTCTTCCTTCCTATGGAAGTCGGAAACATGGTCAGAACACGATCTGGGGAGGGATCCTGCCTTCCTCCCCACCCCCACCCCACCCCACTCTTACCCGGTGTCTGGGCTCTGGATCCTCACAGTCATGGGGGCACTGTGGGCCTGGCACTTACAAAAGTGTGGCCCCTGCCTCCAGCGTGGGGTCCCTCTCAGGGTCCCAGGGATCTGCCTCTCTGTGGTCTCCATCCTGGCTCTTGACCTTACAATGAGAATAAATTCTGCCTCATCTTTGCCTATGTCCCCCAGTTTTTCTTCATCTCTACAACTTTGACATCTCCTACTGAGGAAGGACCAACCTCATACTGAGCACCTACTGTTTGCATCCCATTCACGTTTCTCCCTCTGGTTTTCTCATCTGTCTGTGGAGGCAGGATTAGTGCATGCATTGTACATATGGGGAAGCTGAGTCCTGGTTCAGCCAACCTGCCTGAAGCCAAAGACAGGCAGGGGGATGAATCAGAACCTAGATTTTTTGCCCCCCAAAGCCCAGGCTCAGCTAGGAAACACCCCAGAGGCTCCAAATTCTCTCCTCCAAGAGGTGCACATGGTACTTAGCCCTAGAGTCCAGTCCCTTCCAGCTGGCATAGCCCTTGAGTTTTCTTGGGGGAGAAAGACTTCCAGCCCCAGGAAGAGGAGTACACAGGGAAGAGACATTCCTGGGAACAACTTCCTCAGGACCAAGGGGGGCCATTGGGAGAGCTGGCTTCGGGGAGGCAGAACAGGGAAAACAGGGTACGAGCTTCTTCCATAGTTGGGACAGGGAGCTGAGGACTCTCTCTGCTCATGGGAGGGGGAACAGCAGCCGGGGTTCTGGGCAGGAGACAAACAGAGGCAGAGTAGATGCCGACAGCATCCCCTTGCACCAATGGCTCAGACATTTGGGGAAGCTGCCCCAGGGTCTTAACGATGAGGGGTAGAAAGATGATCTCCAGCTGAGAGAAGGGCCTCACTCCTAAACTGTCCTCAAACGGGGGAAGTGGGAACAGGTAGAAAACACCTACCCTGTGTTTCCTAAATTGTCTCACTCAAAATCACAACAGCCCTGTGAGATTGAGAGTATCATCTGCCACTTGAGCAATAGCTTGCTTGGAGCGGCCAATGTCCCACATGGCAGAGCCACCACATAGAGCTAAATTTGTCTGATTTCAAGCCAACTATGTTTCCCCTGAGACTCCAAACTAAGCTCCAGGCCCTCTCCCCTCAAAAACAGTTGTTTCCTATGAGGCAGAATCTGTTACTACAGACTTCTCTTCCCTTAAGGGGAAAAGACCCTAACATCCTATTGGATGATAGGATCCAGTCATCCGATCCTAATCAACACGTGCTCTATGCTGGGTGCCACTGGGGGTACAAAGACAATGAGATGCAGCCCTTGTCCTCAGAAGCTCAGAAATGAGGTGGAGCTACAGACTGCACAAAAGAGGCTCCCTCAGTTAGATCCAATGTGCTAAGTTTCCAAAAAATGAAGCACACGGAAGGGTCAGAGAGAGCCTCGACAGGCAGGTCTGTCATGGAGGACTTACTGAAGGAAGCATTTCAGTTGAGAACTGAAGAATGAGAAGGGTTTGGAGGTTGATTTCCGAGGCAGCCCTTTGTGCAAGGCATGGAATGCAGAGGAGAGGAAGAATACAGCCAGAGCAGAAATAAACCGTGTTCATGGATGGGAAGCCTCACCTCCACAATGCTGGCTGTGCCTTTCCAATTTAACCTATACATTTTATTTCCAATAAAAATTGCAATGGGATTCTCCCAGCAACTTGACAGAGTCATCCTCAAATGAACATGGAATAACAAAGAACCCAGAATAGCCAAGACAGTTTTGAAAAAGAAAGAGGAAGAGAAAGGGAACCTCATCCTAGCTGATGTCAATAGGTACTATGAAGCTCTAATAATTAAAATAGTGTGGTTTGATCCCAGATATAGATCAACAGATAATAGAGCAGAGAATAATGCCTAGGGACAGATCCAAATACATAGGAGAGTGTGAAACACGACAGGGTAAAATGGTCTAGTTAACAGATGACGGACAAGTGTATCCCTATTGGAAAATATAACATTGGATCCCTGCTCACACCACTCACAAAGTAAGTTCCAGGTTGGTTAAAGTCCTAAATGTGAAAAGCACACTATAAAACATTTCAAAAGAAAACAGAGGAAAGTAACTTCATGATCTTAGAGTAGAAACTAAACAAAACACAAAAAGCATAAATGGTTTTTTAAATGATAAATCGTATTACAATCAAGAACTTCCGTGTGACAAATGAGGAATAGATTTGTTAAAGCCACTGGCTGGGAAAAGGTAACCCATATAACCAAGAGACAATTTGTTTCCAAAAGAATTTGTTAAAAAAAGCTCCAGGCCAGGTGTGGTGGCTCATGCCCTTAATCCCAGCACTTTGGGAGGCTGAGGCAGTTGGATCACGAGGTCAGGAGTTTGAGACCAGCCTGGCCAAAATGGCAAAACCCTGTCTCTACTAAAAGTACAAAAATTAGCTGGGCATGGTGATGGATGCCTGTAATCCCAGCTACCCGGGAGGTTGAGGCAGGAAAATCACGATGAACCTGGGAGGCGGAGGTTGCAGTGAGCCGAGATTGTGCCATTGCACTCCAGCCTGGGCAATAAGAGCAAGACTCCATCTCAAAATAAATAAATAAAATTTAAAAAATAAAAAAATTCCAGAGAGTCAATCTACCTAAACATTCCAGAGCAATAGGAAAATAGACAAAAGATGTGAACAAATACCAGAGGGAGAAATCTGAAAGGCCAAACAAGATATGAAAGAGTCTCAACATCACTAACAAACGTGGCAATGCAAATTGATACAATAATGAGACAGCTTGTTACACCAATCTGACTGGCAAAATCAGTGTGTCACGTGAGTATCGATGACGATATGGGGGAAATACCAATGTTTATAAACTGCTAGTGGGAATTTAAATTTGCACAGCTACTTTGGAGAGCAATTTGAAAATGCTTGATAAACTTTAATATGAGTAAATCTGTGATCCAGCCAACTCTGCCACTCATGTGTGCCTCTTAAGTTTCCTAATCGGGGCCTGAGTCAGGGTTTCTTGTGCAGTGATTTATTGAGGCAGAGCTCTTAGGTGAAAGGGAGATGGGATGGCAGATAGGGTGGAAGCACTAGGCAGTGATATGTTCTCCGTTGGAGATTAGCTTCAATCTGATCTCATGGGAGCTCTGGGGCATGAGTGACAGCACCGAGTTGGTCTACTTCAAGGCACGGGAGCCAATATAGATGTATATATAAATATATATATTTTTTTCTTTTTTTTGAGAAGGACTTTTGCTCTTGTTGCCCAAGCTGGAGTGCAGTGGCACGATCCTGGCTCACTGCAACCTCCGCCTCCCGGATTCAAGCAGTTCTCCTGCTTCAGTCTCCCAAGTAGCTGGGAATACAGGTGCTACAGGAGTGCGCCACCATGCCCAGAAATTTTTTTGTATTTTTAGTAGAAACGGGGTTTCACCATGTTAGCCAGGTTGGTTTTGAACTCCTGACCTCAGGTGATCCACCGGCCTTGGCCTCCCAAAGTGCTGGGATTACAGGCATGAGCCACCGTGCCTGGCTGGGAGCCATTATTTTTTACCCCCACGTCACTCAGTCACCAGCGATGGCCACTCCATGGGGAAGACGGGGAAGGGGTGCAAGTGTAGGTAAGGAAGTTCCTAAGAAGGGAGCAGCTCTAAGCCCTTAGCATCAATACTCACAGCCAGGGGGTGGGAACACCTACAGGCAAAAGGCATCCAAGTGGGGCATCAGCAGTGTTTCCCACCATATCGCAGAGAAGCACACTATATGCAGAAGCATACATGTCTACTGATATTTATTGCACCTTAGTATGTAATTGAAAGGCAAAGAGGAGGCTAACTGCCTCTCAGCAGGAAGACAGAAAAATAAACTACTTTATAAGTACAATAAAATAATCGACCACAGTTCAAATGAACAAACTGGATCAGCATTCATCAATAGGGATAAGTTTCCAAACATAGCATGGAGTGAAAAAATAAATGGCAAAGGAATATCCACAGGTTTAAACCATTTATGTAAACTTTAAAAACTGTGTGTGTTAGAATTGAATACACAGGTTTTGAATGCATAGCTGGGTAATGACAGCACAAAAATATGCATGAAGTGGGTAAACACCAGGCCAGCACAACTATATCTGTCTTTCATTGTTAGTTCTTTTGTAAAAATAGAGGGCTCTGAAGCAAATATGGCAAAATGTTAATATCCATTTAGTCTTGATGTGTATTTGTTACTTTATTTCCCAATTTTCTCATAGATTGAAATGGCCTATAATTTTATTTTTATTTTTGAGACAGAGTCTCTCACTGTTGCCTGGGCTGGAGTGCAGTGGCGTGATCTCAGCTCACTCTAACCTTCGCCTCCTGGATTCAAGCAATTCTCCTGCCTCAGACTCCAGAGTGGCTGGGATTACAGGTGCCCACCACCACACCCAGCTAATTTTTTTTTTTTTTTTTTAGTAGAGATGGGGTTTCACTATGTTAGCCAGGCTGGTCTCAAACTCCTGACCTCGTGATCCGCCGGCCTTGACCTCCCAAAGTGCTGGGATTACAGGTATAATCCACTGCGCCCAGCCAAAATGGCCTATAGTTTTAAATAAGAGTGTTTAAAAGGCACAAAGCAGGCAGGGATATATGAAAAGTCTCTACTTCCTGGTCAATTTTGCAGTGAACCTAAAACTCAAAAAAATAAATTATTTTTAAACACCCACAAGGGAGGGAGGAGTTCCGCAGACTGCCCTCAGGAAACTTGGGGTTTCAGAAATGGGGGTGGAAAAATGGGGAGATGGTGGGATGGGAAGGTTCGAAGAACTGGCCCTTTTAGGCTGTAGGGAGGGCTGACGCTGTCCAGGGTTCTGGACCCCGGTGGCAGGGGCTTGTGCTGCAACAGACCAGAAGATCTGGTCAGCTCTCTCCCCCAAATGTACACCGAGCCTAACCATCTCCACCTGCCCTTGGTCCTGCTGCCACCTCCTCTCCCTCAGAGACTACAGAAACCTCATCAATATCCTCTCCACTTCCTCTCTGGCCCCCACAATCCGTTCTCCACAAGCAGCCAAAGGGATCTTTTAAAAACACAAACCAGATCATGCTACATTCTGGATTACAATCCTGCAAAAGCTTCCTAAAAAGTTTATAACAACATTGAAAATCCTCCTCCAGCCTCCAATCCCCCTGTCATCTGCTA